CTGTAGAGTTTCTCAACAGGTAGGGCTCCGAATGAACATGGACAAGACGAAAGTCATGGCAAACGCCCATGTCACGCCCTATCCGATATCAGTTGGGAGTTCTAACCTCGAAATTGTTAACGAATATGTATACCTGGGACAAGTGATCCCCAGCTAGGTAGGTCCAATTTCGAGAAGGAGGTCAATCGTCGAATCCAACTTGGATGAGCAGCGTTCGGGAAACTACGCAACATCTTCTCGTCCAACTTACCTCAGTGCCTTAAGACGAAAGTCTATAATCAATGTGTGTTACCAGCGATGATCTATGGAACTGAAACGTGGTCTCTTACTGGGGGCCTTATAAAGAAGCTCAAGGTCGCTCAGCGCGCTATGAAAAGGGCTATGCTCGGAGTTTCTTTGCGAAACCGAATAAAAAACGAGGATGTTCGCAAACGAACAAAGGTTTCCGACATAGCCCAGCGGATTAGTAAGTTGAAGTGGCAATAAGCAGGGCACATAGCGCGTAGAACCGACGGCCGCTGGGGCAGAAAGGTTCTCGAGTGGAGGCCACGTACCGGCAAGCGCAGCGGAGGACGCAAGGTGGACAGACGACCTGATTAAGGTCGCAGGAAGCCGCTGGATGCAGGTCGCTTCCAACCGGCCTATTTGGAAGTCAATGGGGGAGGCCTATGATCAGCAGTGGACGTCCACAGTCAGCCACACTGATATGATGATGATGTGATGAAAGGACTTTTGGCCCTTTTTTATTGTATAAATAGGCAAACGAGCTGACGGATTACCTGATGGTAAGCAATCGGCGCCGCCCATAGACAACAGCAACACTTTTAAGAAGGAGTACCCAAGTAACACAGTCATGCTGAATAACGTTTGAGTACTAGTGATCCGCGAAACAGTTACAGCTTATAAGCTGTAACTATTGTCTGGATATTGTCTGAGTGAACGTCTATTCAACTGTTACTCAAGCAATTTGGGCACATTTTTAAATGCATAAGTCTGTATAATATAGCTGTAAAGTTTGGGTAATTGCTTAATAATAACAGGCTTAACTTAATAACGTCTGAAAAAAAACTGTCATCACTTTAATATATAGCTATTATTTCGTATTTATTCAGACAAATGCATATGGATTTTGTTATTCAAAAATTATTCAGGATTATGTTCATTTGCGTAATACTTTTCAAACAAAATTAAAAGTTAAGTTGTGAATTAGAAAAAAAGTTGTGTTTAATCGTGCAGTGTGTGCTTTGTTTTGAAATTTCATAGTTTTTAGTAAAATAAAGATGGTAGTCGAACTATGCGAATCGGTAAGTACCTAAATGTTATTATGTATTATAACCATGATACACGTAAAAAATTACTGCGCAAGTTATTTTATCGTGAATAGCATATAAATTATCTCAACATTTTTCACGCGCCGTTTTCATATTCATTTTTAGTAATAGTATAGGTATGACATATAAATAAAGACTTTTAGAAGTGACAAAAATACTTAGGATGAAACAGTTATGCTAATCTTTCAAAAGTCATTAAGTTACTCAAAAAATATATTTTTAACTGTAATTAATTACTAAAATGGAGCATTTTATATACGTAATGTTTCAATAATTTACTCAAAAATAAAATAAAATGGCGATTCATTATAAAAGTTCTCCACGCAGCTATTTTACAGTACAACTCTGATTTAATTTGAGAAATAGTGATTAGGCACTACAAGTATCTGAATAACACTTGATAACGTTACTAAATGTGATTAATTATACAGCGAATCAGGGTTCAAAACATAATACGACGGACCAAATTTCTCAGGAAAATTGATATATTTATATGAGTAATTACAAAAAAGGACCACTTATATTTTTCAATACAAATAAGGGTTTTTTTCTACCTATTCAGTGGCAAATGATACAACACAAATACTATGCATAATGTTTTATTCTTATTTTTTTTAACATGTACATAAACGCAGTTATAACGATGTTATGTTTTTGTTTTTCTAGTTTTAGGTAGGTTGGGTTAATTTCGTATTACAAAAAATTACAACCATCTATGCGATGGGGGTAGTTTAGTAGTATGTAGATTCATAGTGAATTATTTTAGCTAGAACAAACAACATCGAGTAATTTACACGTATTGATCAGTTACTATTATTCACAGATAGGGAGCGCACCGCGGCTGCAAGTTAGTGCGTGGCGTGTGTTAAACTCGCGAAATTATAGTTTCTAAAAGGTTTTTATAGTTTTATTGTTTTTAGCTATCATAAAATAGTACTTACTCTAAGTTCCTAACATAAAGCGAAATGTCTTGCAGGAGAATGCCGTTTAAGATTGTTTCTACTCAACGAAGGGGCAGAGCAGAACTATGCACTCTACCTTCCCACTGGGAAAGCACAGCGAAACTGAAATGGCCCAAATTTAATACCGATTACCTTTGTAAAAACGAAAATGCTCAACCTAGTCCGGATTGGATTTCAATGAATTGTACCTTAAAAAGAAAAATTTTACAACCTTTGAAGATGCAGAAGAAGAGTTATCTAATATGACGTTATGTGTAGACCATAGTGTGTACAATACGTCGTCTCTGGAGTTTGCCTCCAGCTCACTAAAATTTTAAATATATGCGAGTTTGAGAAATCATCCCCAAGAAGGCATACTGTTTTTTTAATTTAGTAATTATAAGATTAAACGGTTTTTTTTAAATTTGAGAAATAAAAGAAATTTTGATAATTTTAAACGCTTGTAATTATAATAACTAACTTCACGAACAAAATTTCACATAAAAAATGAAATTCTCTTATTGATTTTTTCAGTGCGACTTGTGAAATATTTTTACTAAGAGCCCATTTTTTAATTTCAATAAAATTCACATCTGATTTATCTTCACTAGATGCGGAAATATTATCTTCTGAATTCTGTACAAAATCTATAACGGCATTATTTGAAGGTACAGAACTCCCTTTAACTGGATCTGTTCGGACTTGACTCAAATTACGACTACCTAAGCTCACTCTCGTAGTAAAACAATGTTTTAAACGTCTGTAATTCACTTACTACCCAGAAAAACTCGTTATAAGTTCTTTAAAAATGGTATTTTTACAAGAAATTGCGGAATTAAAATACATCATTCGACTTCCATCTGTGTTACGTTAGCTATAAACTATGACTTTATTTCCCTTATACCAAAATAAGCTCTATTTAGAACACAGAAAATACTTTTATACAGTAGTTGAATAATTGATAAAATGTGGAACCTTATATGACTTGACGGCAAAATAAAAGCTGTTATTCAAAATACAATGCTAATATTCCTTTCATTAGAAATTACTTACACTCTTATTCAGAAGACAGCTGCCGTGGACACAGTTTTACAGAGTATGGTGGTTTTATAAGCAATAAGTTGAGAAAAGTTTGTTTATTAGTATTAGATAATTACGTTTATTCAGCTACTTATACTATTATACAGATAAATGCTGACCCGGGCAATATTTTTCAAATTAAAGTCACCTGTAATGCTTTAGGCTTAATAATATCTGCGTTTTATGCTGTACATAAGTTATTACTAAGCTTTAAAAATAATAGTCGACCTTAATACAACTTTTATCAAGCATAAATGGCTATTAAGGCAGAAAGAGAAAATTATTCAGAATTTGGCTATTTCAATAGCCTTTCCTCACACGTTATGGAGCTTATATCTGTAAATATTTTCGAATTACTTTTACTCAAACACTATTCAGCATGTCTGTGTTACTTGGGTACGCTCGTTTCTTGAAACTTCGAAGGTCGTATCGGTTCGGGAATACTGCCACCGAAAGAGCATTCCAAAGTTTTCCTGTGAGGGCCAAAAAGTTGCGCGTAAATTGCTCTGTTGTTGACCGCCAACCATCTATAGCTATACGATGGGGATGAAACATTTGGTATGTTTGTTCTAGTGATAAGCGATGATCCAGTCTAGGACTGAACACATCTGAGCCTTTTTTATGTGATAGGTTTGCAAACGAACAGATGGATTACCTGATTGATGGTAAGCAATCATCGCCGCCCACGGACATCCGCACCAATAGATAAGTTACGAGTGCGTTGCCGTTTTGGGGCTTTGGAGATTTAGCGATTGGGGAAGGATTGGGCCTCCGGTAACCTCACTCACATGGCGAAACACAAAGCTGTAGTTGTTTCACGCCGGTTTTGTATGAGGCCGTGATATCACTCCGGTCGAGACGACCCATTCGTGAGGAAGCATGGCTCTCCCAAACTTTAAAAAAATGTTGCATATCCGAACGCCTAACTATACTCGGAATTTTAATTCCATTCCAGATTTGACAATTTCAGCGTTGCAACGTTATGACACGTACTAAATAGTGACGTTGCAAAATTATTCGATATGAAATTGAATACTTCTGAATCGATTCCTCTCGTTTATAAATTTAATCTCGTAAACTAAGTTTATCAGGAAATAAAATAATTCTGAACCGATAATTTAGTTCTGACAATTAATTAACGATCTGAAACTTTTCTTATGTAATCGTGTGTGAAATTAATAAAAAATGTGATTATGAAGGAACATCCTACTACTATTATAAAGGCGAAAGTTTTTAAGTATGGATGTATGGATGTTTGTTACTCTTTCACGTAAAAACTACTGAATGGCTTTGAATGAAACTTTACCACAATATAGCTTATACATCAGAATACCACATAGGCTACAATTTTTGTGTCAGAAGTCCACGCGAACGAAGTCGCGGGCAAAAGCTAGTGACAAATAAAACAGACATTTTATAAATTGTCGCCGTCATGGGATACGCATTTAGACCATTTGGTAGCCGTAATTTTTTGAATGCCTTCCTGAAACTTATTCACTGATTGTTTATCGATTTTTGTGTTCATCACTACACTGTTATATGTGGTATCATTATTTCACAAAATGACAGTAGGTCATGTCAAATCAGGAATCGAATTAAAATTCTGACTATATTTATCTGCGCAGGAATATAAAGTAACACAAAACAATATTTTGAAAACATCATTTATTATTAAATAAAACATGTTGTTATGTTTATTAATAAAACTAATAATTTACAAAGATCACTATTACATTACTACATTTATATTAATACCAGTAAGATTTGGCGGGAACTCTGTCCTCTTTGATGCCCATCTCCTCCATAATGTCCATTTCAAATGTCTTTAGTTTTGGCGCGAAAGTTACCTGTGAAAAATAATATGAAATTATTTAAGCATATTTATGAAGAATTACACATTCAATACTTTTATCGAAATGTCAAAAAAATGCTTTTCTCTCGTTGAATGAACTACTTGTTACGTAATCATACCCTTAAGTGAAATAGCACACTTGTTTCTCCAAAAATAGCCATCAAAATTGGAAAATTAAATATTTCGTCAAATCGATAATTAAAATGTAGTTAGTTATTCTATTATTTCATTGTAACTTTAAATTATTTGTTTACGGAGGACTGGTGACTGAGGAAAATATGTAGGTACCCAATAACATTTTTGTTATGATAATGCTGTATCAAAATAATAAAAGTATTTCTTATACTAGTGACGCCATCACTTATGATATATATGCATTGCATTGTATTGAATGTGTTCATATAAGGCGAAATATCAACAATAAAAAAACTTGTATGGTTGTCTATATTTTACCTTAAAAATATGTAAATGAGTCTGTTTGCGACATTTACGTGTTTCAACATAATTTTATTACTAACGAGCTGATGTTCCCATTGAATGTATCGGAGTTTTTTTTTTTTTGTTAGTAATTTAACAGTGATATGTGTTTTAGGGCTAATTTTTCAATGGTAAGATAAAAGTTACCTGGAGAATAATTATGATGCTGTCGCGTCAGAATGTTTGTATAAGACAGTGACCAGTGACAGCAACAATTTTATTCCTCAGACAACAGTTATCTGGCTATTGAAAAATCAACCATTAGTGGTCCATTTTTATCTATAGCCGTATACTTACATAAAAATGAATCGCAAGATGTGTTGGTTTTCGCATAACTCAAAAGCCAGGACTGACTTTACCAATTATTATATTTTTGGCGAGAAAGTACTCATTTTTAGTTTTTACCTTAACAGCGGCATCGGCTGTGGTGTCCTTCTCAACGTTCTCAATGTACAACTCCTTGCTCTTGAAGTCCATAGTCTCCTCCGAAGCTTTTGGGATAGGGATGATTCTGCTACTCGCCATGGATACACGCACCTGTAAATAAGGCATACAAATTAAAAATCTTGGAGGCACATTTATATGAGTACATTATCATCAGCCTATAAGTGACCACAACTGAGTAACAGCGGAGAAGGTTTGAGCATTAATCACTTGCTCAATGCGATTGACGATTTCAAACTTATAATTAGTTGAAGTCTAGGTTTCCTCACGATGTTTCCCTTCACCGTATGTCAGTGATATATAAATAATCACGGAAAATACATACATATCACTGGGAAAAGTCACACTGTTACCTGCCAGGTTTTGAACCCTCCTGCATGAGAAGAAGGCTTCTAAAGAAGATGAGTACTAATCTCATTAAAATAGGTTTCAGCATTTTCCAAGATATTGAGCTTATAATACCCGTGCCGCGGAAACGGTGACCACAGAGATTTATATGTATAGCTGCAGGAAAATAAACCTGATCCATCAAATTGCGATCGCCAACTTAACTGGCAAGCTTGGAGTTTTAAATAAGTCCAGTAATTAATGCTCATGTGATGTTGGCGATAACTGGTTCCCTACTAAAAGTAAATTAGTTTCAAGTTACAAAAGGACTCTTATTCATGAGCGTCGCGCAGCCGACTGACTAGTAAGACCTTTTTTCAATCTTTTCTCAATCAATTTACTTAAGTAATTTGTTATTTACAATACGACTGCACGGTTGGCGCAGTGGCCGTCGTGGGTTCGATTCCCGCATGGGACCATTCTTTGTGTGATCCACAAATAGTTGTTCCGGGTCTGGGTGTGATGTGTGTGTGAAATTGTATGTTTGTGATAGCACCCACGACACAGAAGAAAATCCATGTGTGGGGCAAAGTATTATTAAAAAAAACTCTATAAATATACAAACCTTGTCTCCCTCCTCAGTGTACCTCCACTGGAACTCGGTAGGTTTCAGAGTCTCAGGATCCACCAGCTTGACGTCAGTGGTCACCAGAAGAGGAGCCTCCGACTGGATGGTTATGCCTGGAAACTTGCTGTCTTTGCCCACCTGAAATGTAAGAAATATATATTCTGATTAAGTTAAGAATTCTGAGTTTTATTTCAGAACAATACTTATCTCATTTGAATAAATAATCCTACTAATTCCTACTATCCTACTCATATTATTAATGTGATAGTTAATGAAAATGTATGTATTTTTTTTAAAAAAAGTTGCCCCACATTAGGATTTTCTCCTGTGTCGTGGATGCGGTTACAAACATACAATTTCACATACACCTGACACCCAGACCCGGAACCACAATTTGTGGATCACACAAAGAGTTGTTCCGTGCGGGAATCGAACCCGCGACACGTTGCACGGCAGCCAGTTGCCCAGCCACCGCACCAACCGTGCAGTCGCGTTTGTTATTCTTTATGAGAACAGCTGTACCAATTTGTTTGAAATTTTGAATTTTGAAAGGCTTTTTATTAAAACACAGGCAGAAGCTAGTATAAAATAAATTCATTATCAAACCAGTCGCTCTGGAGATAAGCACTTTCAAACAAACAAACTCTTCAGCTCTATGGTAGATTTAGCGTAGTTTTTCAAAAACATGTCACTCTAGCAATAAGCTCGGTGGCAAAAGCTTTAGTTATGAGAACATCACAATTAAGAATATTTGTAATATGGAACTCACAACTCTGAGATGTGTGTTGAGTCCCTCCACAATGACCCAATTGCGTTCCTGAATCACTTGTGAGATAATCCCTTGCTTGCCCTTATCTTTACCAACCATTATCTCCACACGGTCACCTCTGGAAACCAATACAAAAAATTTTTAAACTTTCTGTTATAATAATTTAAACACAAAAGAAGAAAAATAGATGCGCAAACACTTTTTGCTTAAAGTTTGATTTTATTTTGGATATGTGCTATATACAAGCACACGAATCAAGGGAAGACGGAATATGTTTTTTCTATTGTGTCCCATAGAGTAGGAAAGGATATTCAATAGAATAAATCATTAATATATGTATAGTCATACTTTTATTCATTGTTTTGAGTATAATCTTAACCTTTCAATCATAGTACTATGAGACACAATAGAAGAATATTAAGTGTGAACATTGTTATTAGCTTGGGATTTGATTAATTAATTTAAGATTTTTTTTAGCTAATCTTTCAGATATAAATATGCCTTTTTGCCATTATGGCTTTTTGCATTTAATGCCATTGCCATAAAACATTATTATAACTTCTTCAAGTGTTGCTAGTTCATAAAAAAATCATAGAGAAGTATTATTTTGTCATAACAAAAAAAGTACTTACTAGTTAATTTGTATAGTTTTAAACTATTTATTTACATTTATCTTATTGAGTCATTGTATTTATCAATCAATTTTTTTAAGACTAGAAGATCTGGACAAAATTATAACCATTATAAACATATTGCTATTTAGATAATCATCTAAGTCTAGAAGTCTAGATATCACAGAATGAATTCATATTTTTAATTTGACATATTAAGGGATGCCCACTATTCCATATTCATGTCAGTTTTTATCTGACTTACATACCTCCTCCTATGAATGCCCACTGATGAGCAAAGACCTCTTCTAATACATAGTGACCAGGTATGAGTATCAATAACCACGCTGGTTCAAAGGAGGTTGGTGATTTCTAACTTATAACTAGAATGCTTTTAAGTCTATTTTGTCTCTTATTGGAAATTAACCAGTGAGAATATTTGAGTTCACAAGGATTGAAATGCAGCCACAAACGTCACTATTTCCGCTTACAGATCAGAATTCTGTATGAAGTTACATCTCTTCTAAACATAATGTATTACTAAAATAATAATATAAACTCGTTTACTTGAAGAAGCTCCAGTCGCCTACGGGTTCCACGAACACTTTCTTCCTGTGCATATTACGGTCATTTTGCAAACGGAACTGACCAGTCCAAGGCCTGTTTGTCGTAAACCTATACTGTTTACGAGCTATTTGAGCCTTTGGATATTGTGGATAGTTCGAAGGATTCTTCCAATACACCTAAAATTTGCAACAAAAATTTAATAAATTTTTTAGGTTATGTTTACAAACGGACTTTTTAGGAACATATTTTGAAGTATGTACCTGCTCATAGCTTCTTTTAACATAGGATTCAGGGAAGTTCGAATATTTGATCGTCAGATCTCCAACTTTCTTTCCTAGAAACCCGTATATTCGCATTTTAATCGCAGTATTTCGTAACCTTGTTGTGAATTTACCAAATGCCAAATTACTGTCTGGTGGATTTTGATTTGACGTTGACAATTGATAACTTGACATTGCAAGATAGAAAAAAAATACGTTTCGTTTTTCTCTTGCTTCCATACTACACTTGCTTCTACACACAGAGATTCGACATTTTTTTGTGCATGTTTTGTAATCAAAAGTTTGAAAAAATACATGATTTGCTTACTTGATGAGAGAGAAAGAATATTTACCTTAACAATTTGATCCTAAGGAATTTATTGCCTCATATCACTAACCGATACAAGGTGTTCAGACTGTGTTGAAATACGTATGACGTGACGTGGTTATTCTGAGTAAATATTTCAGAAACTTAAAAACCCTGTTTAGAAAATGTGGCTAGATAGCAAAGAGATCATAAACTGCAACTGGAATGTTTTTATTTAAACAAGCAAAAACAAGCTTTTTATACACATACAAAAAATGATTGCTAGATCAAAGAACGTATTCGACATAGACAAAACAGCGTTTTTAATTTTTTTTCTTTGCCTCTACCAAAATTTTCTGTCAACAAAATTTAACAAACGTGAAAAAATAATTAAAACTTTTTAATCATAGAAAGAAACACGGCCAAATATATGCCTATGAGTATAATAATTTTCCAATCACAAATTATAAGTGTTTATTTATTTAAAGCCGAAAAAAGCATTAATAATATCACACATAGACAATTGACGTAAATCAGCTGTCCAATATCAGTCGTTGTAGGTGGCAGCACCGCGTCACGTGAATTTTCATGGCGTTGAAGGGCTAGTCCCGAATTGTCTTGTGATTTCGCCAAATTATTTGCTGTTTCCAATATTTAGTGTTAAACAGCATTAATTTATAAGTTCCAGGTGAGTGTTGTGTTGTAACTGAGTGAATATCTCGTTTGATGTTGCCGTTAAATCCTTTTGCGCGGGACTGAAAGATGTCAAAGTCGGTAGTGACGGAGTGTAAGGGGTGGTTTGGGGTGATTTTCTTGGGTTAGCTCGCGCCTGGCGCCAGGATGTCTGACCGCCGAGCGGGCGCCGTGGGACCGGGCTCGATATTGATTGAGTGCACAAGCCCGTTGCGTCAGCGTTCTGGCTAAAAACACCAGACCGTCGGCTGCTTCCGCGGGCTCTGCACTGCATAGTCGCAATACAAAATCGATTTTTCGGTCAACGAAAATGTTTTCAAGTGGATCAAACATGTAACGTTGGTTTCTGCGAGGGTTTTTGCTGTGAGTCTTTACGTTTTGATTGTCAATTTAAGTAGATAGTTAATAATTTTGTATGCAATTGCAGTGGTGAAGATGTCTGAATACTGGGTGATCAGTGCCCCGGGCGACAAGACCTGCCAGCAGACCTGGGACACCCTTAACAATGCCACCAAGTCCGGCAATCTCAGCGCCAACTACAAATTTCCAATCCCCGACCTGAAGGTAAATCACTTTTATTCTCAAATCATAATTAATTGCTGAATAGCTTTTAACAAAAAAAAAAGTTTTTTAAAATAATAAATTAAGAAAAAATAATCCTGATGAATAATTGAATAATTACTTAACTGTCCTTGAAACAATTTGTACTGACATGTCATGTGTCAGTGAATTATTAAAACCACCATAACATGAACTGAATAAAAAATTAAGATGACCTACCTAATCGAAAAAAGTCTGACTTTACTGAGACACTTAAGACTTATTTTGATGACTGTCTTTATTTTCATAATAATTTATCATTCATAAACAGTTCTTAAATTCCTACTAAATCTTAATAGAGAGTTATTTTAAGATTTCCAACAAGCATATACAAATACCTATAAACCTGTACCAAGTCTTAACAACTCCATACTATAAGAAAATTCATAGAGGATCACAGCTGACCAATTATCTCAGAAATGCCAGTCATAATATATGAGAATTAAAACAATAGCCATTATCCCACACAACATTAGGTTAGACATCCTAAGAATTCTAATATATTTATTTAAGTAACTCAGAATCAGAATCAATTGTGTTTATTCTATTCTAAGTCTATTTACTTTAAATTGTTGACAGAAATATCTTATAGATGGCACTGTCCTAAATTGAACTAATTTGAATTTGAATTGTTTTTTGCACTGAATGTTGATAACATATGTAATTATTCAAAATGAATGCTATTGGACAGCTCTTGTTTTCTATAACACTTTTTTTTACAAAAGATTGAAGTAAACACAATCATTTAATATTATTTAGGTATTGATTTCATACTTCTGTCCTTTCTAATTTTTTTTTAATATTTTATTTGAAATCTTATTGGTCTTGTATGTTGTTTCCAGGTGGGGACTCTGGATCAGTTGGTGGGGCTGTCCGATGACTTGGGTAAGCTCGATACCTTTGTAGAAGGTGTTACAAGGAAGGTAGCGCAGTATCTTGGTGAGGTAAGTAATTGTTTGCAGTCTATTGGCTTTTATAATGATTTTTTTATATGTAATGAATTTAAAAAAAAAAACTACATTGATCATTGTTATGAAGGTAATCCTACATGACATACCATATAAACATTGTTTTTATTTTGTATGTGTTCCATATAGTGTTGTAAATATTAAATAAATCTAGACTAGTATTCAAATTACGTCTTTCCACTGTTTCATAGATATTTTTTTTAATCTTTATATTTTTTCCTCAGGTACTAGAAGACCAACGCGATAAGCTCCATGAGAACCTTATGGCCAACAACAGTAAGTGAATTTTCTAGTTTTCTTTATGGCACTAAACATTATTTTTTTAATTTATTCAGATTCTACTTTTAAAACTTATTCCATTGTTTGGTGCCATTTGTTCATAGATATTTTGGAAGTTAAATAAAAAGGTTTGACATAAAGAAATTAAACATAGAATTTTAACAAGAAAATAGGATATTTTGCATGATTTAAATAAAAAATAGAGAGAAAAATATTTATGGCATGTTTGGGAAATTATAGAAGATTTAAAGCTAAAGAATTGGGCCTATGATGTTACCAGCATGAGAACTAATTTAAAATAGAAACAGAATGAACTGGTGTAGAAAAATAAATAAATTAAAAGCACAGAGTAGTGCGAAAGATTATTAGCATGTGTCGCTGAATTTCAATGGTTAAAATTATCTTTTCTTTATTTTTATATTTTCTTTTTATTTAATTTTTTATTAATATTTACCTATATTTTTGCATGTCATTTTTCTAACTGCACTGCCGGTTTTTGAACGAATCGGTCAGTGATTATTTTTTTATTTTATTATATTTTTCCTTTTATTTGCAATTATACAGTTGCATAATACCCGAGAATGTTTATTACTTTATACATTTTTCTCACACATAACACACCTCATTTCAACCCTGATAATACACACCTATGTACCTTATGAAGCACTAATAATGTGTACTGTACATATATACCTACCTATGTATAACTAATATTGACGAACCTTGGAAAAAATAAAAAAAAACTGTTTTTTTTTTACCTTATAAATTTTGAATAAAGAAACTAACAAGTTTCGTCGATAGTGCTCAACATATTATTCACTTTTTAAATCAAAAGGCTAAGAATGTTGAGTGGACAGTGTTTGTACATTTACTCGTATTTTTAGTATGAGATTCGACAACGACCGACCATGTCGAACCTCTTTGCACCAGTGCACCTATGTGTGATATGTAAATAGATTTAATGGAATGTATAGAAAACAATATTTATGTTGCATTCACTTTATTGGTACCACGGCTATCGATATAATAGTATCTAAAATCCTTTTCGACAAATTATTGTATAATTCGCCGAAAATTGAAGATGTTTTTAAAGAAAAATTATAATGGAATTCCCGTGAAGGTAAATTATGATTACTGTTTTTTTTTTCGTCTAGGCAGACAACAGATTGGCTTAAAAGACAAAGAAAATTTGGAATAAATTGCGCATTCATTGGTTTTTTTTTCTAAATTCTAATTTCAATTTTTTCTATGGCAATATTGAATGCGTTTATAAAGGATGTGTTTATTTATGTACATACTGCTTTTATATCACAGTATATTATAGCTTTTTAAAATATTATTATTTTTTACTTAATTCATGGGTTTGTGAATGACACGATATTGTGTTTAGTCATTAATTTTCTATATATTTTAGATTGAGAATGTTAGTTTTTGGGATTGCATTTCAGTGTCTGAGAAATGGAAAAAAGTTTGCGGCAGTGAGTAATATTTTTTTCGTAGTTTATGTAAAAATGAGCTTATTAGCAATATTGTGCGAGCTTCGATAAAATATCTACGCTTCAAATTATCTGTATCATATTATTATTATTATTATAATATCGATAAAAAGGCAATAATTTTTACGCTAAATATATTTTTGTTACAGAAATTGTTGTTATATATTATGTGTAAGATAATTTTGTTAATATGGAGCTTATTTGTAGTGATTTTTTACGCGATATAAAATACTTTTACTAAAGTTTTTATTATGTGTTTTTGTTGTTTAGTTTTTTTTTGTGATATATTAAATAATAAATACTTATTTTAACCGGAGATATATGCAGGATGAAACCACAATACGTATGTTATGTAAGACGTCGCGTTTAGGCTGTTAATACTTAAAGTGTTGATTAATCGTGTCATGTATATTATATTCGACACTTTATGGCAATTATTTATTACAGTACGATTTGTTTAGGAACTTTTTAACAAAAAAAAAAAACAATAGCTTTCGATTTTAAAGCCAATATAAATGCTTTCAATGACTTAGTGTTATCTTACATTGATTATACACGATTGCATAACGCCATCCTTATGTCATATAAATTCCCTTTCGTTAGTACTCAAGCCATATAGTGTCGGATTTAGGTAAAATATACTCTATAATAAGTGAATTAAGTCACATTTTCAATGTTCCTCTCGCGTACAGTTGAGATAATTTTCTTATCGTGAAACAGTGAAAGTGTGACTTGATCGGATGAGATTATTTATAAAGATACGACATACGTATACCTACATACATACTAGATATATGTATAACGTTAAGGCGATGTGTAATGGATATAAATGGCGTAAAAGAAAGTTTTTTTCTTTACTCAACCAATAGGAATTTCTGGACTGGATTTTTAGGTACATTTTTAGCGATCAATGGGATAAATATTTTTGTGATTTTCAGATTTTCTTCTACCTTAAAGTTATAAATGGTGAAGAGATACCTTTATTTATCACTTTGATGATTAATAGGTATTATTTTATGCAGGATTTGTGTTCGAACTATATTTCTAGGTGGTGTATAGGTTTGATAAGATGATTAGGTACAGTCCGTTTTCTGTTCTCATAGAAAAAATAAATGGGTAGTATTTTTAGTAAGTCGACGTGTTTCAGTGGCCTTCGTGACTGGTAGTTCTTTAACAAACGCTGTTCCGAGGTCATTTTAGGTGTTTTTCCCTAAAAGCTAAGTAGTTTGGGGATGTAAGTAAAAAAGGATGCATAACAAAATTGCTGTCAGAATAAAAACTTTACTTTCGTGGAACATATTGTTACCTTTCCAGAACAAGTTTTTTCTTTTGATTTCAAGTATTCAATTATTGATCATATCCATTACATATTTCCATGATTTCAAAAATAAAATCACATTTCGCTTACAATTACTTGAATACCTAGACGTTGTAAGTTTTCGCACATTATGTTGTAATACTTGTTATTAAGATACTGGATATATAATGTCTTCATACCATAGATAAATAGCAATCACTGCCTCACAAGACATTCATAGCTTAGCTATATCAAGCTTTAAAAATTGTCTATGCTTTGCGCTTTTTAATTTTTTTATTACTATTTAGTTTATTTATATTATTTTGTTTATGGAAAATATATACTTTATTTTGCTCCTGTCCTATACTAAATCCTCTTTATTTTCATCCTAAACTCACGGAGGCGATAAAAACGATATTATGAGATTGATAATGGGATTTATAGAGAAACATGGACGTAAGACTATGAAAATAACTTTACAACCGCCATAAAACTATATTCGAACAGTGGTAGCTTGTTGTGCGAGGGGATGGAAGTGATAGCGAAGGTTTAAGGACTGTGGCGACTCTAGGCATTGACTCATACGCGGACCCGGGCGGGGGCGAGCCTCCGCCCACGCCGACGTCCCCGGTGTGCGACTCCGCGTTCTCGGAGCACCACGGGTGCTGGCCGTGTGAGCATCGAGAGCATTCCGAATACGAGGCCTCGCAGCCGTCCCAACCGTCCAGCGGCCGCAGCTCTCCGCGCTGGGACGACGACGACGACGAGGATCGCCACCACCATATACTCACGCAAGGTTTAGGACCGCTCCCTCGCCTCGCCTAACTCCCGCGTTTGCACCAAACTTGACTAATTTAACTGCCAAGTCGAGTTCTGTGCAAACCCTATCCCGGTAGGCCCACTACCCTGTTAGGAACGAAGCTCTGACTAAGGCTCCGTTACGTTCAGCGCTCTCTGCAGCCGCGAATAGGGCACGTGAAGGCAGTGATTGCTAAATTGTTTTCTATAATTTTTGCATTGTTAATGTTTTGGATTCAAACAGCAGATGGCGCTGGCCGTGTTTACTTCGCGAGCGCCATCCTGAATTTTGTTTCTTCTCTTAATTTATTAGTGGTAGTGTTTAGTCCGAAAGCGATTGTCTGTGAAAAAAAAAGTTTTACATTTTTTTTTCTTTTGAATCGTAAAAAATATTTTTAAAATACGGCTACGTTCAATTCGCGTACCTAATAGCTTTAAAAATTACAGCCACTGATAAATTAGGATTTACATTTTATACAATCGAAGTTTATGGTGACGCTACGAAGCTATAGCTAGGACTTATCACACTGTACGTCTGTACGTCCTGCACCATATATTAAATCCAAGATGGCGTCCTATTCTGTGTAGTTACTTGGCAATACTGCCCTGTAGTTGCTTTTACAAAGTCGAACGTGTTCTATAGCTTTTTAAGGTTCATTTTACTTTGCTTAGATGTTTAATTTATTAATACTCGATGTTGTATTTTTTATTGTATATTTTTTTGTTTAATTTTAATTTTTTACTCGTAACTGATATTTTTTAAGTTATTTTTTTATAACGGTACGCTTTGTGTGTCTATGGTTATTGGAGTAGAATAAGGTTTTAATGCGGAGATTATTTATTCACGTTTATTGATTTTGAAAAAAGAACTTGCCTTCGTTATTCTCTTTCGTATTTATCTAAAAAGTATTTATCATGACTTTCTTATTTCCAACATTTTTTAAGTTTTTCCGTTTGGTAATTTGAATAAATATTAGGTGCGTATTGTCATTACGGAATAATATGTTTCTATCGAATCTATGTATCTCAACAAATATAAATGACGTTTTGTATATACCCCTTTATTAAATACAAGATTTTTTTCTAGGTTTAAACCATTGAGTCAGTTGTTGTATTTTGATCCTTATTCTGACCTACCTTCAATTTGAAATACAAAAACAGGCTCAATAGTTAAGACCTAGACTAAGAAAAACCTTGTTTTGTAATAAGGTCGATAGTTTTTTTTTGTTTTTAAATGGTGACATAAAAAACTTTGCCAACAAAAAGTTACAAGCATTTTCAAAAAATCAAGTCTTACAGACTAGGGCGCGGCAAAACATATTTTAATACATTTTATGGTAATCAAAAGTTGCTTACTGACAGAGGAAAGATGAATTTTCAGTCTGAATCCATGTAACTAAATCAATCACTCGCGTAGTATGAAATTGGTTGACCCAAATATAATAATGGTGAGTCTAAATATAACTTTATTACAATGCCCGAATGCTAACTATAACCTTGATTCTTTGGTAAGTTAATTCGGTAATTAATTACGAAGTTTTCAATACAATACTTTTAAAATAAGCCAAAGAGAACAAAGAATATTTTAATTTTTAATTTTAAACTTGGGAATAATTTAAAATTATTAAGTAATCAGAAGTCAGTCTGTAAAAAAATTGTTACGTATTTTGTATTTTTTTTTAAAAAGGTTTTTTTATTTGAATATATTTTGTTCCTACATATAAAAAAAAACCATCTTAAAATATATAAAAAAATGGTAAAAAAACTTTTAAACGGTTTTATCTATATTAGACTAAAATAAAAACGTGTCGCAAATTGTGATTTTCATTATTATAAAAGTAAATGGTTGAGACTATTTTTCTTCATATTTTTAACTAATTAACTTTCCAATCGTATTAATTTGAGATACAATAGAAGAACAATAGGTGCGCGAACGCCGGCGTTCGCTTAGATTTTAATAACAGAAATAAAATGAGTTTATCACTAAACGTTTTGCTGAAAAATTTCATTGTTTTCTGGTGAAAGAAATCATCACGAAGAAACCTGTATTATAAAAATTTGAAGTCTTCAATCAAACCTTCTCCGTGTGAGAAGGAGGCGCGCAGTAAGCACTTATAGGCTGATGATGTAATGTGATTTCTGCAGCGTGGCTCATAGACTTAAATTCTTAATTAATGAGTCTCATTCAGTGACAATATAGTAGGTAATTGTAACTCGGACCAAATAAAAAAATATTATGATAACTAATTTATCTTTGTTATCGATCGCGTCGTAACAAACCAAGGCCACGCTGTGAACTTGCCAGATATTTCATTTTGTATGAAGATTTATTACTTTTTCTTGTCTCTATAGGAAACTGTACTTTACTGCTAGCGACTAATGGACTGTTTTTCAATGTTCAGAAGTTTTGACCTAATTTCTTTTTTTTACAAGAAGTTCTTATTCGTTCTTGTTCTTTAGAGATTTTCTACCGTGATGGAGTGTGAGATTTTTATCTCCTTTGCCGATAAACCTATGTGGCACATAGTTCTTATATGATATGTTCTATATTCAAATGTATCTAGTACCTACACAGCTTAACTATTCAGAAAATTTGAAACAACATAACCAGCTCTTAGAATTATGGAGTATTGGTAGGTAAAAAAACTATCCTTTCCTGTGAGATATATTTATTTTTTAATTGAATTAAAATTCGAGGACATTTTCAAGGTAGTAAGTTTGCACCCAACGGTTATGATAAATTTAAAAAATATTTTTCTATCAGTCTCTTGATTTTTGATTATAATAATAATATTGTACTATGTTTATAAATAGACAGAGATTTGAAGCAACGGATTGATTAGATTTTATTTTTTGCGGACGAAAAAATAAAAAAATATAAAAGTATTTAGTACGGAGTAAAGTAATGATAACGGTTGGGCCCCTGCAAGATTTTTACCATTAATAACAGGGGCCCCAAATTTTACGAATAAAAAATAGAATGTAGTTTTAGTATTAGAATTATTATCTTTTGGGCCCCTTGAAATACGTGCCCTATGAACTGGGGCCCCGTCGTTATGTCATCAGTACATAAAATAAAATTAAAGTAGTATTATCTAGTTAGTATTTATTCGTATTATAGATTTGATGTATTTAATGTTTATAATCAAAACTACATTGTATTGAATTTTTGTGGTGAATGGCAATTTAATACATTTTAACTAAATAATGATTATATATTTCTCTTATTCCCGACTTTGGTTTTTAGGTTCCGAGAACCAAAAAAAGATATGGATAAACAGTAACCTCTTTCAGACACAACACAATAAAATGTAGTTTTAGTAACCCGTATTTAAATTCCTATTTTAATTATAACTTATGCAATTTTTAAAAAAATATGAAAATGTTGTTTTTAATGTTGGTTTTTGAATACGGGTTGTAAAGCATGTATATTTATGTGCATGATAAAATAATTATAGTATTGCATGTCGTTATAAAATATATGTATGGAATCGTGCTATGAATGTATTTAAGCCCTGTACATAGAAGTATGTTTCTTATTAATTCTGGGTTTGGTTTGATAATCGGCTGTACAAATTGATAGTTAGCATTGTGCTTAGTAATATGTTGTAACGGATGCTTTTAGATATCTTCTTAGTATGAAGTGTCGGCTGAGGTTGTGTGTGCAAACGCAATAATGTACCACAACCTGATTCGGAGCAAAAAAACGACGGTCAGACTCTCTATCACGCATAAAAGAAAAAAAAAGTGTAGAACCTCAAAAAAAAAAATACAAATGCTCGACATTATTATGTGTACATCGTAGACGATCGCAATTTAAGTTTTAATCGAACAAAAAGGTTTTTATTATATAATGCGGTTAAAATACCTCAACATCTCAACAAATGTTGGTAAAACAATTCATTTAGAAGAATTTGATTAGAAGCGAAAGGCATTATTTATTTTTTTCTGTAATTTTAAATCAGTCGGTTGTCAAATCGAACGGTTTAATTCAATCTGAGAAATGATATTTATCACTATAATAATAATTTTATGTACAAGGGTGATATTAGTATTTGTCTGAATGCACGTTAAGCTAGATCTTTTTTAATTTTAGTTGAAAACAACGCTTACGATTCCTTTGTTTTGTTATTTTTTGTTAAGCACTTTTCTATAATCAAATAAATATTAAAATAAATTTAGTGTAATTAAATATGTTATCTGTTAAATGGTCGTTGTTGAAGGATGTTTCGTGTTTTAGCTGATCTTTATTGACAAATTTAACGAAAATATCAAGAAAAAATACGAAAGGAACTGAAATGTTCCTTTAGTTAATGTTTGTGTGAGTAATTCTAACTGTTGTGTTACATTACAGGCGATCTACCATCGTATCTAACTCGTTTCCAATGGGACATGGCGAAATACCCCATCAAGCAAAGCCTGCGTAACATCGCTGATATCATCAGTAAACAGGTTGGTGTTCTTTACAAAATGCCTTTTATAAAATTAAATAAGTCCTTGGTACGGCTTCTTTGAGGGGGAAAACATTAACATGTGTTTCTTAACCCTGGGTGGGACGAGAGGTTCAGACTCATACTGCCTGAAAACCACCCCGTGCCTTCTCCTCTTCAGCGCTAAGGCTGCGGTACAAAATTGCATCCGCAACCCTTTTAGGTTTCCAGTTTTTTAACAACTTGATTCAGCAGATTTCATGTCATACCAGATTAGAACCCACTGAAAGGTCACATGTGGTTATAAAATTAAAATACTTACATGCTAATACTGAGAAAACCTGTAATCCCAATTTGCAAATCACTACAACTTTCATAAGACATCAATTTTAAAAGACATTAAAAAAGATAATTAAATTATTCTTCTTAAATCCAGGTGGGACAGATCGATGCGGACTTAAAACAGAAATCGTCCGCCTACAACGCACTCAAGGGCAACTTACAGAACTTGGAGAAGAAACAAACGTAAGTATTTTAACTAAATAAATAAATCTGTATATTACTTTGGTTTACATACCTATAACGTTCAGAAAGTATAAAAGATGGTGCATACCAAATAAGCATAGGTCCTTTTGGTGTCCATTGCTTGGGAGTGGAGTGTAAGAGGCCTGGTGTCATGTAAAAAAACATTTGTTGGATTGGTGTTGTTCAGAATACTATGTCTCAACATTTATCAAAGCGGCCATTTTGATGTTAAAAATAGTAAATAAGAGTAGTATTTGAGTATATGTAACATTCGTGGCATACAGTCAGGCCATGGTGGATCTATCACAGTCTTTAGCTACCTATTAATAAATAAAAAAATGATAAGTTTATACACAATTTACCTTTTGACCAATTACCATCAGGCGAATCGAGGTCCAACCTTTTTCACCTTTTTTATTAACGCAAGACGAATAAGTGATTTTGCCGTAAAAAAGAAAATTTAAGTATTGCATAATTCCTTAGGCTCCTGAAAAATCAGGCATAGTTTACACACTGAAAAATAACCTAACACATTTCATTCTCTACTTTCTTACCAGCATCGAGTTCCTTCTAAAAATACATGAAGTCTATTATGCCTCAACAGTATTATTCCTACAAATCTTAACTTCCAATACATCACTTAAAATATATCCCGCGTATGTTTTGATAACGAAAATTCTTCATTTTAACGACGCAGTTATAAATCCTAGTTTATGAATATTCGCTTTCAAGATTATTGATGCGCGTAAAACTAATAAAATGTTTTATTTAAGTGTTTGTAGTTATCCCTAGACTTACGCATTCTGGCCATTGCCGAACTGAAAGAAGGAATGCTTCATTTTTAACTATATTCAATTCAATCAATCAATCAATCAATCAAATTTATTTATTTACGTTTGTACATAAATATCTTATACTAGGTCTTACATTTTAATTAATCTAGGTAAATAACATTACGGTGCCTGTATAGAATTGAATCTGTACCACAGGCGTTACGGTCACTTTCAGTTACTGTTATGCTATGATTCATCCTCAATTATTTCACCGTTGTTGTAATAATAATATTTTTTTATGACTAAGGCGACAAACGAGTGAAGCTCTGATCTCCTGATGGTAAGCAATCTACGTCATCCATGGACATCTATAACACTAAAGGAGTTGCAAGTGCTTTGCCGGCCTTTTGTGCCTTAGGTTTTGGGGATTGAGGGCATTTAACATTACTCATGGCAAAAAACACAAAGCTAGCATATCACTCTGGTATCGCTAGCCCATTCGTGCCGAAGCATACTTTTTCCATACTTGTTATTTATTTGATTGATATGAAAACATCTACATTACTATAAATGCCGTTCTGAAGTCTTTAAATTCTACTAATTTACAACTTCTTCTTTTACATACAAACGCATGTAATGTATGTTTCAAATAATGAACGATTATTAAAAATGTTATTTATTATATTCTAGGTATTTTGACATAAGAACGATGTACTCGTGGCAAAACAAGAGAAAAGTTCCAATAGATATTATACTCATACTTATTAACAACTCAGGAACTGAAATATTTTTTTAAAATTAAATTCAATTCTACTTATTGTATATCTAACAGAAGTGTAATACGTTAACAGTGGCAGTCTGTTGACCCGTAACCTGGCGGACTTGGTGAAGAAGGAACATTTCATCCTGGACAGCGAGTACCTCACCACACTGCTGGTGATCGTGCCCAAGTAAGTACAAGCCTCGCGAGTAGGTAGCGCCATTAACATGTCAGAAAAAGTTCAACAGAAAAAGTTAAAGGGTAAATAATTTATTTCATTTATGGCTGATTTTTCAATAATCAGATAGATGTTATCTGAGGAATAATTTTTTTGCTGTCGCTGTCTTATTCAAACATTGTCTAACCATTAAAAATCAGCCCTTAAACATACATAACTGTTTAATTACTTCATAGAATTGGAGCATTCAAATCAAATCAGCCGTTAAACATTTTTATTGGATTCAGCTTAGATTTAAAACATTTTGCGTACAATATTGCGATTAAGAAATCTTGAAGAATCTGTTTTTATGTGTATTGAATCTAGTCAGCAGGGGGATATAATAATCAAATAAAATCAAATTCTTTATTTCAAGTAGACCACAACAGGCACTTTTGAACGTCAAGGCTACGTTAATCTACAGCAAGGGGGAACTGGCGGCCCGCGACTGCTTTTTAAAATAAACTCCAAATCTCAAATTTTATCTAAACTGATTGAAGTACATGGGCATTAATTACAACGCAAATCTAGTCTTCTATTAATATATTATTAGACTAGCTTTTGCCCGCGACTTCGTTCGCGTGGAATAGTGACTTCCGGCAGATTTTTGGTTTTACCCACATAGTTCCCGATCTCGCGGGATTTTTGAGAAGTTCCCGCTCCCGCAGGATTTTTGGATGAAATTTGGTACAAACTATGTCTGTACCAAATTTCATCCAAATCTGTTCAGTAGTTTAGGCGTGACGGAAAGACAGATAGACAGAGTTATTATCGCATTTTTAGCGTGGGTAGTTTTGCCCGCGACTTCGTCCGTAAATTTACTTTGAGTAGAAAGTTTTTAACCCACTTCAAAAAAAGGAGGAGGTTCTCAATTCGACCGTATTTTTTTATGTATATTAAGGCATATCAGTTATAGACCGATTTGAGAAATTCTTTTGTAGAGTAAAGTGTCAGTGTGGTTGCCCTATAAATTTGATCAGTCTGAAATGTGGAAGATATCCCAGAAAACTCTTCAAAAATCAAAAGAATGAGCTCTGCGTTTCAATTTAAGAGATGTATTCTCACTTAGGGCATTAAAGCCGTTATTGCCGATCGAAAAAGGCGATAATGTTATTTTTCCTTATTTTCCCATCATTCTACTGATTTGTCATTTCAGTTCAAAAGGAAAAAAAGACTGTTTCTTTCATTGGCAAATTTTCTATTATTTTAGGCTTACAGATTATTTTCTGTATACCACGTTTTTAGTTTTGGCATCCTTTGCAAAAATGTAAAGGTTTTGTGGTTTTGACACTCTTGAGCACGCAACGTAGAGTTGCCCATGGGAGAAACAGTCTTTTTCAAGATGTACCCCCGCAACTTTTAGCGTTTGCCCTTGGGCTTTATTTATGGTCATTGCAAACGCAGTTTTCAGCGGAAACTGAACTCTTTTGTATTGGAATGGCAAATCAGTTGGAATGATGGGAATGCGGGGAATAATTACAGTTTCGCCTTTTGCCATTCCAGTCATAATAACGGCTTTAATGACATTCCGTCCTAAATAGGTTATTTGTAACCGTGTACCGTTGCATAGCCTTGGTGGATCAAGGTTTCTCATAAGCATCACAGGAACACCAACTTTCAGCCTCAACTTATGAGAAGGCACTCCTGATAACTCTAAGGAGTTGAGAAACTCTGTTGGGTAACATGTCACTTGCTCGGTATCCACGACGTTATCTACTGATAGATACTCGATGACATCTCCCTCTATGTCAAACATAATTTGGTAATTTATCCGGCCTACTATTTCATTTGTTGGCGCCAATATTGCCCTTTCGCATAACCATTCCCGATTTTCGATATTGGCGCGTAGATCGGGATAGACACTATTTTTTAAATTGTATGTGATATCCACAATTTGGCATAATTCGCTGCTCAGCGTGATCATACTCTCGGAGTCGGTAGGCATACGATCTTCGCCGATCTTCAGAAGAGCAGCAGCATACTGCCCGGCTTGACAGTCATTATGGAGTAATACTCGCATATTCGTCGACAGTGAAACCTTTTTCACATGTGTCCATAGCACAGATGCTTTTAAACAGGCATTGATTTCATCTGCCGGTGTGCCCCTTGCTATAACCGGCAGGGTCTGCCGGAAGTCACCGGCCAATAGAACTACCATTCCTCCCATAATACTTTGACTGTTTTTAATGTCTTTCATCGTGCGATGAAGTGCTTCGATTGCTCTTTTATGGGCCATCGTACATTCATCCCACACCAGCAGTTTACATTGTTGTAACATTCTTCCACGCTCACTACTTTTACTTATGTTACAAACTGGCATTTCCTCATGAGCTAAATTTAGTGGCAATTACAGAACTGAGTGGGCTGTTCGTCCTCCACTAAGCAGCGTAGCAGCTATTCCGGATGAAGCTACTGCCACAGCAACTCCTTTATCTTTCCGGATTTCAGCTAATAATAAGTTTAGAAGAAAGGTTTTGCCGGTACCTCCTGGAGCATCCAAAAAGAACAAACCACCTTCGCCACTGGCAACTTTGTTGATTATTGTGTCAAAGACTAATCTTTGTTCTGGATTTAAAAGTGGAAGGGCGGGCCTCTGTAATTTGTTGCTGTAACAAAACTGGATCATAATTTAGCTCTCGCATTAAATCATCACTGACTTCCCCAATTCTTTGAGGTCTGCTCATACCAAAATCGGACAAATATTTACCAGTGATAGTTATCACTTGGTCCTCAACCTTGGTCAGAGCGTCATTGTAAATTACCTCATTGTACGAAATATTTGGGTCCCCTTCTTGAAATCTACGCAAAATGTCATCCGCCATATCATTTTTATATTTTTCCCACAGATATTCAGGGTTTGAAAGTCCACATGTTGCTATTAATATAGCAAAAAGCTCTCTCATCTGTGGTGCAGATTTGCACTGTGCGGCCTCTTCTAGAGTTAGATCCCAATGATTATCGTTCTCTAATAGTCCTCTTGCCTGACATGCCTCTCTAAATGTCGAGAATTCTTGATCATTTAGCTTTTTGAGATCTGCAAAAGAAGTTGGCCCCCGCACGTGGTGTAACAGTATTCTCAGACAAAAACACTCCATATTGGTAACGTGAACCGTGTAAACTCGGCCTAAGGCATTTCCAGATTTGACACCAGGCCAATTCTGGACCCCCTTGGATTCGTCGTTTCCATTCCCTCCTTGTAGAGTTCCAAGTGTAATATCTTGGTACATCAACATAGAGGAGCGTCCTTGCAAATTCATCTCTTGTGCAGAGCTCAAAAAAAGCGGTGAGTGTTGTTTTTGGAGCAGAGGTTATTCTCTCTTGGAAATTGTTTGCAGTAAAATAGACACGTTCCCCATTTTCCAAGTGTACAGTCAGGTGTGTGACTGTCGGGTGCCTTTCGTGTAACGGGAAGGCTAAAAGCCGCCACACGGCTTCGTTGCTGCTAACATAACGACCAGACTGGTACGTTTGGACTTCATTTATGGGATTAGCAGCATCGGTGTTTTTGAAACTAAAATAGCTTGGTCGCTATCTTTGTTTATGTATTTACATATATATTTGATAGCGCGCACTGAGCTGCAAGCTTCTACGTTTATATGAGCGTTAAACATTTTTGACAATACGGGCGAAAAAGGGACTACCCAACTATTATCAATAGTAACATAAACATTTCGAACTTTTACAGACGCGTTTTGTCCGCCATCGCCTGGTGCTCTTCTTCGATACAACGGATATCCATTGTGGACAGTTTCTTTAATAAGCGTGCGAGGATATTTTTTAGAGCATTTTCCATTTTTCATGCAGGGGCTTTGAGGATTGTCAGGACCGCAAGGACCATGAATCATATTTTTAATAATAATTTCATGAAGTGCCTGGTCACTACTTGGATCCGGTATTTCCGCTCTAAAAACATTATCTATTCGATCGGGTCTCAGCTTGTCCTTCAGCCAGATTAAAATATGCACGTGAGGAAGCCCGCGTTTTTGCCACTCTATCGAGTACATGAAGCATAGTACTTCACCGAATACATTTCCTTTATTGACAACTTCCATAAGCTTCTTAACTTTTAATCGAAAAACCCTTGCAACAATATCATGTCTATCGATTGCCCTCTGTCCCGGCAGCAACTCTTCAACTATTTCAGGCCAGCTTGGGTTGCATGTAAAAGTTACGAACAAATCGGGGCGACCATATGTACGTACGTAAGCGAATGCGTCCTGTGTATAAGCGTGTAAATATCTGGGGCTATTTACAAAAGATGATGGCAAAATTACCAATTTACCTAAATCGTTAGAGTTAACATTACCATCATTTGCTACAGCATCTTGAAGATGGACATAGTTCTCCGCTCTCAATTTGTTTTGGTTTAATGATATGTATCGTAATCGTTCGCTTTCAACTTTTACATACATATCAACATAAAACTGATTGGCCAGTTGTCTACATCGTGATATTATATTAAAATCATTTTCTCGAACCATGATATGGTAGGCATAAAAATCCATGCATGAGACTTTTTTGTTGTTTACAGGCAAACCTGTTACAGGACTGACTTGGGGTATTTGAAAGTGGTACCCTTCTTGCCCCTTGCTGAATATCAACGGATATTGCAATGCGTCATAAAATTTGTGTGTATCTGGTACCCTACTTAAAATGTCATTACGGGCATGCAAAATAATGTCACGGGAAGCAAACTGGTCGCCTGTGACTACAGCTGCTACTTCATTAATAAGCGGTGCATTGTACCGTCTTTCATGTTCCCCAGTTGGTGTACGGTCAGGGTGCATAATCAACTTGTAATTTTCTGCCGGCATTCTTTCTAATGCTGTTTTGAAAGTATTAATGAGGTTGTTATGCTCGTGCAACATTCTCTGGATTTTTAAGACAGTATCCCTTTCAACTCCATTAATATTTTGGCATCTGCGGTTAACTTCACTATTTTCGTCTCCCATAAAATAAATTTGCAAAAATTTAGGCTGATCGTTTGTAGGCAGTAAAGACCCAACCCTATGGTAAACTTGACCTTGTATTTTAAATGTACTGGAAAATCCAGGCATAACAACCTCATGATCTACTCCAAATGACGTCATTTGGAAACAGCTATTATATTTCCTTATACTGTTCAAAAAGAATCGTGACTCATTACTGTCGCATAAAAGTAGTGTTTTCAGGGGTTCCTCTGGAACACCAAGTGATGGAAGTGAAACTTTACCTCCAGAACAGCACATACCCGGAGTTTCCTCTTTCCATTTTAGTGCCATACAATATGTGCACTTTTTAGCCATCCGTCCTAAGAGCACTAATCGATGGTTCATGTAATCAATTATAGGGTCATAATCAAAAGCAGCATCATGAAATACCTCCCACGTATTACGTGTAAATATATTTCGTCTTTGTGCTTGCCGTGCAGCTAATAGAATACGTCGTCTTTGAGATTCTTCATGTGACTCTGCAGCAATCAGAGACGCATGACGCTCAGCATCCAAAAGCCGACGTACTCGAGTTTCATCTACAGTTTCGGAAGCTCTTTGAGTTGCATGACGCCTGGCGTCTAAGAGTCGCCGCTCCTGCCTCACTTCCTCAGTCTCAGAAGCTCTTCGAGCAGCGTGACGTTCGGTGTCTAAGAACCGGCGCTCCCGAGCCACCTCTTCTGTCTCAGCAGCTCTTTGAGTTGCATGACGCTCAGCATCTAAGAGCTGGCGCTCCTGAGCCATCTCTTCGGTCTCAGCAGCTCTTTGAGTTGCATGACGCCCAGCATCTAAGAGCCGGCGCTCCCGAGCCATCCCTTCGGTCTCAGCAGCTCTTTGAGTTGCATGACGCCCAGCATCTAAGAGCCGGCGCTCCCGAGCCATCCCTTCGGTCTCAGCAGCTCTTTGAGTAGCGTGACGCTCAGCGTCTAAGAGCCGTCGCTCCTGCCTCACCTCCTCAGTCTCAGCAGCTCTTCGAGCAGCGTGACGTTCGTTGTCTAAGAGCCGGCGCTCCCGAGCCATCTCTTCGGTTTCAGCAGCTCTTCGAGCAGCGTGAAGTTCGTTGTCTAAGAGCCGGCGCTCCCGAGCCATCTCTTCGGTTTCAGCAGCTCTTCGAGCAGCGTGAAGTTCGTTGTCTAAGAGCCGGCGCTCCCGAGCCATCTCTTCGGTTTCAGCAGCTCTTCGAGCAGCGTGACGTTCGTTGTCTAAGAGCCGGCGCTCCCGAGCCATCTCTTCGGTTTCAGCAGCTCTTCGAGCAGCGTGACGTTCGTTGTCTAAGAGCCGGCGCTCCCGAGCCATCTCTTCGGTTTCAGCAGCTCTTTGAGTAGCGTGACGCTCAGCATCTAAGAGCCGTCGCTCCTGCCTCACCTCTTCAGTCACAGCAGCTCTTTGAGTAGCGTGACGCTCAGCGTCTAAGAGCCGTCGCTCCTGCCTCACCTCTTCAGTCTCAGCAGCTCTTTGAGCAGTGTGACGCTCGGCGTCTAAAGTCAAACGGGCTTGAGTCTGTTCTTCAGACTCTTGACTTCTTGCAACTCTTTTAGCTCGAGCTCCGCTGGAACTACGTGCTAAGTTGGTCTTGCGTTTTCTAGTCATTGAAAAAAATAGTTTAAAAACGAACTTAAACTAAAGAAATATTAAAATCTTTCCGAACTTAAGTTGAAAACTAACTTAAAACTAAAGAATTAAAGAAAGATACGAACTTATAACAATTTAAAAGAAATTATATTACAACCTATCCTATTTAACAACCAAGCTTAAAACTAAATAATTAAAAAGAAACGAACTTAAAACTAAATAATTTAAAAGGAACTTAGAATTACAGTTTTACTAAAATAACTAAGTACTATTAGTCGAGATCAAACTAACCTACATAAAACAACAACCAGAACAATCCAACAAAACCTTTTAATCGACAGATACAACGAAGCCAATTTATCAGAACCAAACATAAACGACCATACAACCGACAATACAATTTTTCCACGACGGTACCGAAGCGCTCGGCCGATACCCAACCAAATGCGTGTAACGAAACCATAGCGCGATCTATTTCGATCCCAACGCCATCTATCGAGCATAGTGACAACTCGGATTATTTATCTATACTCCGTTCTTGCATTTTCTTTGTACTAAAAGTAGTATTATATTGTTATATTATTTTTTTCATACCTTTTTACAATTTATTAACTGTTTTCCGATGAATTAAAAAATAACATGAACCGAACTCGTGTAACGATCGACACCATTGCGCGTAGTACTAATAGAATTATCTATACTCCGTTAGCGCATTTTCTTTGTAGTAAAACTTTTATTATGTTAATATTAATTTTTTACACCTTTTTACTATTTATTTACATTTTTCTGATGGATTTACCGATGAATTAAAACAATAACATGAACCGAACACGTGTAATGACACTATTGCGCGATTAACGCCATCTATCTATGGAGCATAGGAACAGCTCGACATTTGACCAATAGATGGCGCTGTATGTCCGTAATAAATTTTATTTTTTATTTTTATTTTTTGTAATAAAAACTATCCTATGTCCTTTCTCAAGTTTCAAACTATGTCTGTACCAAATTTCACACAAATCGGTTCAGTAGTTTAGGCGTGAAGAAAAGACAGACAGACAGACAGACAGACAGAAAGACAGACAGACAGACAGAGTTACTTTCGCATTTATAATATTAGTTTGGATTAGTTTGGATATGGATATCTCGACAAACCGAAATATCAGTAATTGTACTGCAATTATCAGACATCTGCGTACAAAAGCTGTCTCAGATCAAAATCTTGTGCTAAAAGTAACCACATTACCGGGAAACACATCAAACGATTTGCTAAATGTATGTTTATTTTACATACAATGTATCAAGCTAAAATTGGTTTGAACACCAATAGTTTGGGTTTGACGGTGATATCGAGCTTATGTTGTAAGCGTTAAGAGTTAAATTGGTATATCAAGTAAAAGTACTAAGGACGGTTGGATTTATTAAACAAATTATATAATTTTAATACAAGTTTTTCTTATTTTAGTAATTTGTGAATGACTACTCATAATTGCCTGATAAAGTGCTAATTGAAATTTAACTTTAAAATACTATTCCGGTGTTACTGCAAAATTTCTTTTTAACGCCGTCTGCAGCGTAACTAACACTGTTTTAGCGGTATACATGACTTGGTAACAGCCTTGTGGCAAAATCTATGCTCAGAGGTTTTCTTTGAGTCCAATATTGTTATTTTTTTGCAAAAATGTAAGGACATAATTTTAGGTTTTTTCTCCATACCGATTATGGAATACCAAAACATTGGAATCTTTCAGAGTAAACAAAATCTTAATAGAAAAGAACAGATAAAATTGGCGTATGTTTTTCTAATGATGATTAATATAGAAATTCTCCTCTCACTCTGAAACTCTCCTTATAAGTGATCCCGTATGTACAACGGGAGGAGGGATTTAGTGTTACCCCATCACAAAACAAATATTTTATTGTTTATTTGTTCCAATTGAATAGACTCCGAAACTAGATAACCGATTTGAAAAAATATATCAATATTGGTAAGCTATGAACATAAGCTATAAAATCCTCGGGGTACAATTAATATTTAAGTAAATATGTATATCATCAACAGGTCGATGTTCAACGACTGGAACGCCAACTACGAGAAGATCACCGACATGATCGTGCCTCGTTCCACGCAGCTCATACACCAGGACGGCGACTACGGACTCTTTTCTGTCACCCTCTTCAAGAAGGTAATCACAATCACTAGCATAGTGTAATATAGTATAAAACACAGACGTTTTCTCTGTCCCTGTATCTCTATGTATGCTTAAATCTTTAAAACTACGCAACGGATTTTGGTGCGGTTTTTGTTTTCAATTGATAGAGTAATTGTAGAGGAAGATTTCTTTGTATAAAATGGTAGTTGCAGTCTTTATATACTTGTGGTTGGTTGTAGTATTTAAAATCGGTATTTCCTAATAACATTATAAATGCGAAAGTTTGTGAGAATATATGGCATATTTTTATTTATCCTCACGCAAAAACGGAAGGACGATTTTGTTGAAATTTAATATGTAGGTAGGTTGTATAACCTGGATTAACACGTAGGCGTTGTATCTACCACATGAGCGAAGCCGCGAGCTTACGCTAATTCTAAATTACAATGTTTAATGAAAATTTTATGGCAAGGGCACGGACCACGAGTCCGTGGAGAACTTAAATTAATGTTTAAAAAATAATATGAGCCCATTGCGTTACACTAACCACAATTCCATTACAATTAATGTTATTATTTCTAAAATTTCCATATGCCTCGATAATTCTTTGCCTTATCTCTTGGAACCACTCCATCTACATTATTTGTGAATGTAAAATAAGACCCTATAAATATGAAAATTAAACATACATTTGTTTGTCGACAGGTCGTCGAAGAGTTCAAGCTCCACGCACGTGAACGTAAGTTCGTCGTACGTGAGTTTTCGTACAACGAGGCCGACCTCGCCGCCGGCAAGAACGAGATCACCAAACTTGTTACTGACAAGAAGAAGCAATTTGTAAGTATTGTCAAGATTATTTTTTTTATCCGTCTATCGATGGATCGATATTATTATTTATTCGCCAGCCGGGGTTGCGAGAACAAGGGTAATAGTTTACCTCAACCTCGCCTTGTAAAGGTAATAAGGACCTATTTCTGAATGGATAACGACGGGGTGCAAACACCAGGGGCCCGATCATTATGGGAAAAATACGTGCCTGTAATGTTTGGCTTCTCAAAAATACGCGCTTAAAAATATTCATTTGTTTAAAAAGTCAATAACGATTGGGTACCTTACAATAACGAATGGGCCCCAGTCGTGGGGCCCGCTCGCTTAAAATATAATCGCGAATTATGAATTATGAATATTGTATAAAATAGCAAGTTGTTGACGTCATTGCATTGCCCTTTTGGGGCAAATTGTATTTTTTATGGCTATAATAAAATACAAAAATAAGATAAATATAAAGTTTAGGAACCATGATTCGGCTCGACCGGATTGATACCACGGTCTCATAGAAAACGGGCGTGAAATTACCAAAGCTTTATTTGTCGCCTTGTAACTGAGGTTTCTGGAAGCTTTTCCTTCCTATCCCTCAATCTCTAAATCTCCGTAACCCTAATCCCCAAAAGAATGGCAATGGACTTGTACCATATTAAGAAAATATTTATTTATTTTATAATGTGGATTATATAATACATGAGGTGGACTTTACCATAAGAATTTTTTTCTGTCTTTCTTTCTTTCTTAGTTTCTTTTTGAATTAAGAAACTACTCAACATACGTTATATTACCATATCTGAATAATCGAATACAAACGACTATAGTTCTTAAGTTTTCTTACATAGGGTAGTAATTACATTGTTTTGTTATCCAGGGTCCGTTGGTGCGATGGTTGAAGGTGAACTTCTCGGAATGTTTCTGCGCCTGGATCCACGTTAAGGCGCTCCGTGTCTTCGTCGAGTCGGTGCTGAGGTGAGGCGCAAACAATTTTGAACCTTATGAACAGTGTAGGCTTTGGGCATTTGGAGTTATTCCCATGAAATCGTTTTCAGAGCAAATTCTAATAAAAAAAATATATAATTTAGCCTTAAAAATATTTTCACGGTACATGTGTTTTAATACAATTGTTCAGAATATTGAAGGAGAGATTAAAAAGAGGGGGGATTTACGGTAACATATTACATAAGTATTCAAAATTATTGATTATAGCGAATGTTTTTTAAATTGTTGGTATCAAGAAAACTGATTTAAAAAGTGTACCCATTGAGTTCCTTGATCGTTTTTCTCCATAGGAATCTACATTTTGAAACGAGTAAATAGCCTCACGAAGAGGACTGATGTTTGAACGTCTAACATAGATTTTATCTTTAAATTAATGTTAGACGTTCAAACATTTATGTAATTTGTCGCAGAGATACATATTAGTCTGAAATAACACATAGGCATACATTTTTACCCTAATCCTGCCGAGTATAATAACTATAATGTATGCCCTCTCCCCAGATACGGGCTGCCGGTGAACTTCCAGGCGGTAGTGATGGTCCCGTCCCGCAAGAACACGAAGAAGTTGCGCGAAGTGTTGCAGGCCCTCTACGCACACCTCGACCACTCCGCGCACCAACACACCTCCTCCGCACAGGACGTACGTCCATACTACATAATAATTATCAATATATATCTAATAATTATCATCATCAGCCTATAAGTGCCCACTGCTAAGCAAAGGCCTCTTCTCACAAGAAGAAGGTTTGAGCATTAACTACCACGCTCGCTCAAGCCGCTCAATCACCGGCTGGGGCGTGAGGAGGATAGTTCAAACACACAGCGGTGCTCAGCCCAAGCAGCGCTCTCCGCCACCGTATGCTCCACCGTGTCCTCTAGGTGGTTCTCACAAGTTACGAGTGCGTTGCGGATACGGATATTTAAGGATTTGGAAGGGAGCGATACCATGGCCTCGCAGAAAACCGACGTGAAACAACCACAACTTTGTGTTTCGCTGTGTGAGTGAAGGTTATCGAAGGTCTTATTCTTACCCTACCTAATTCCTAAATCTCTGAAAACCTGATCCCGTAAAGGCTGACAACGCACTCCTAATTCTTCTGATATTTTAGGACTCAATGATCAGTCGCCGACCTATCACATATAAAAAAGTACAGACTCCGACGTGACTTGAAATTAGTCGAGCATTATCATAAGAATAATTTTAATTTGTTTATGTTTTCAGAACGCTGAGCTGGCCGGTCTCGGCTTCGGTTCCTCGGAGTACTACCCGTATGTGTTCTACAAGATTAACGTGGACATGTTGGACAAGGCCTAACCATGTCGCCACGATGCGAACAACCCCTGTTATATTAGGTGAGTTAGGTGAGCGACCAACTAAGTAATATACTATGAAACGGGGTGAATATAATTCAAGTGGTTAATAGACTAAACAGGGAATAGATAATAGGAAAAATCGCCAACATCTGTTCACCCCTTTTTTGTATCTATACACCCCATTTTTGTATCTATACACCCCAGTTTTGTGTATATTCACCCCCTTTTGTATTTTTAAACCCCATTTTTGTGTCTATTCACCCCCTTTTGTATATTTTCACCCCATTTTTGTGTTGATGCACCCCCTTTTGTATTTTTAAACCCCATTTTTGTGTCGATTCACCCCCTTTTGTATTTTTAAACCCCATTTTTGTGTCTATTCACCCCCTTTTGTATATTTTCACCCCATTTTTGTGTTGATGCACCCCCTTTTGTATTTTTAAACCCCATTTTTGTGTCGATTCACCCCCTTTTGTATTTTTAAACCCCATTTTTGTGTCTATTCACCTCCTTTTGTATCTTTTCTCCCCATTTTTGTGTCGATTCACCCCTCAAATTCTATTCACACTGTTTTACGGTACTGAACTTGCTTTAAAATATTATACAAGCCTGGAGCAGAAGAAGCAACCGGAAGGTTTTTAGTCAGTAATAGTCTGGCCCTTCCGTCTCGCCCCACCCAACGAGGGAGAAGTCATGTCAAGTCATACATGGGTGGTATTAATAAGAGTCTGACACTCCCTCTCGCCCCAACCGGGACTGGAGAAGTAATTTAATGATTTCCCCTCTGAAAATAGCCCATGATATATTACATAATACATATAAAAATCAATGCCACTTTTCGTTGTAATGTTATAACTCAACGATGCCTTTACCGATTTGGCTGATTTTGGCCTTGTATTATTCGTGGAAGTCCAGAAAAGGTTTGTATGTGAAGAAAATTAAAAAGTAATAATTTGAAAGGGTGCAAAATCGACATCCTCGCGGTCGGAGCTCCGGGCAACCGCTAGTATTACATAAGTAAATTACAAGTTACATAATATTGTTTCTGTTTTTTTTTTCAGGTAATGTTACCAGGTACTTTCTCCTGTGTCTGACCACGTAATGGTCGCGCAATACCATGAACTATCATCGTACAATTTATTTTACTTATAAAACATATCTATACTAAATTTATCATCGGCCCTTGAAGAAAAAAAATCCATATTTTTCTATATGTACAGATGTTTTTGACATTATTTTGTTTTGTGACAACTTTAAAATCATATTATTTCATTTACACGCTGGTTGTTAATATAGATGTTTGTGTAATTTATATTATTATATATGTTATTTATAAACTAAGATGCCATTTTCGAAAATTGAGATGATAAAATAAAGAGAATTTAAAATTGTTGCAATAATTCTTGATGGAGCTTATAGCTTTTTGTTGATGTTAAAAAAAACTGTTAAAATAATGATTGAGTTCAGTATTATATTGAGTTGCGTAGACGCATACAATGTATATGAAAGTAAATAACATCAGATGCAAACTATGTAAATAAGAACATTCCTCATACATGTGTGTAGTACATAATAAAATATTATTCAAGTTACTGTTTTTTCTCGTTTTATTTTAACTGTCGACATTATTGTTCTTGCATTATTAACCTTAGCGTATTTTGTTAGACTAGCCGAATGTCTGTCCTTATGTCAGCTTGGAGTTGTCATGCTCACTCAAAGGTCACATTGACGGTGGCACGGGCACTGGATCACTCGATTCCCTATAACATGGTTGAGTTGGGCGATGCTGGTGTACGTGTCATGTTCGTGAACGGGCGCCGCCAATTGCAACTGGTCAGCTCTGGACTGTTTATTGCCCTTAAGGTTATTTTCTTTTTATGTTTCTCTGTATATTAGCGTTACACTGCTCTCACATAATCAAACCAACTAAATAATGTATCAAAGAACCTTTATGTGACACTGATTTAAAAAGAGTAACCATGGAGTTTCTTGCTCGTTTTTCTCCATCGGAATCTACACTTTGGAACGAGCGAATAGCTTCACTAAGAGGACTGACCGACAGACTGACACTTTATATCTTTAAAATTTTGTTTGACGTTCAAAAGTGCCTGTATGGGTCTAATTGAAATAAATGATTTTGACTTTGACTTTGTAACTTCTGTGTGACTCAACTCACTCGGTAATATCACCCAACTTACTTTTTTATTTCTAAACGCCAAAAATTAACTGCACGTATGGCGCGCTAGCTGGGCAACTGGCTGCCTCGCAACGTGTCGCGTGTTTGATTCCCGCACGGAACAACTCTTCGTGTTATCCACATATTGTTGTTCCGTGTCTGGGTGTGATGTGTAAGTGAAATTGTATGTTTTGAATGCCCCCATGATACAGGAGAAAATATTAATGTGGAGCAGCATTTCTTAAAAAAAATATGAGCATACAATTCGCCTGATGGTAAGCAATCAGCGCACCCAAGGACATCCGCAAAACTAAAGGAGTTACAAGTTTTCTTTTGGGTTTCTGTGAGACAATAGTATCATGATCAGTAGCTCACTGGTAAAATGGCGCAAGCGTGATGCTCGAACAAGGGGCCTCACAGCCCGACCGGGTTTTTTCTGGGTACCCACTTTGGATAGTAAAAAATGTGATGTCACACTGACGATTCCAGATAAACATTTATTTACAATTAGCTGTATCAAGCCTGTACATAAATTGTAAATATTTTTTAGAGATCGGAACACTTTTTTAGAAGAATAGGAATTAACTAATTTGTGTTATTGGAAATTACCAAACATACTGACAGGATCTTCTTTTAAGCTTTTAACATGCTATCCATTTCAATAAGAGTGTTTAAAGTAAAATTAAAACAAAATTGCAATTAAGTTTTTATCTTAAAAAAAGTAAAACATCACATGCAATGCAACTCCTTATTGGCAAAATAATATATGTATAACCAAAATAAAATTGTTTTAGAAAAATCTCCAATAGATACCATAATCATATGACATGAAATAGCATTCTGTGAGTAATGCTTACCATTAGAATAATGATAAATCCTTTTATGTAGAGGAGGTCCATAGCCACATTATTGTAGTATAGTGAGCTGTTAATGTAATTCAAACAGGAAGAAGTGCCTATAAACGCACTAGCCGTGACTAACTCAATCACAATATAAAACAGGAAGAGTAAGAAGGAAAACAATTCTTAAAATGATATTACAATCATTTAATTCTTACAAAACATGGTTACAAATAATCTTATAAACTATAATATGAGCAACGCTAGTCTTCCCATTCGTGATCTTCTGTTTTATTGTCGTCTTTCAACATATTTGATAGCACTGAGTCACCATCCTCATCCATTCTCTTAAACAACGATGTTAATAACTTCTTATTTAAGTGATCAGTCTGGCTTATTTCTCTGGTCGGCTGCTCAGGAATGTTTTCAGGGTTCACAGGCGCAGTTTTATCGGGTTCCGGCATTTTGATTATAATTTATTTATTGAGAAAACAGTTTACAAAATCAGCACTTCACAATTTTATTGTTGTTGGTACAGTAGATAAAACGATCTCAATTAAAAAGTTACGAATGTGGACCTTATTGTTTCCTATTGTTAAAATGTACTCTGTGCCTTATTGCTACAACATTATGGCTTTTTAATTTCGTCGTATAGCATTTGGTGATTTGGTGTGACTTTGACAACTGACAGCTGACATTAGCTTCTTGGCAGAATGTGTCGTAACAAGCGTTTAGGTTTTGCTTGTAAAGTAAAAAAATAACTTTAGATTCAAGAAATAATTCAAATATTTTATTAGTAGTATCTTAACATTATAAAGATTTATATGCTTAAATTTGATAAATAAAGAAATATTATTTATTGTCCATGTCATATTTTCAAACTATGAAAACGTTCATACCTAAATCAGTTTATCTTTTCGAATAAGATGTGTCTTAATAATTAATTAAATGATTAACATCTGCATTCAATAATTAATTATTGAATTCAAAAGTAACACATTTTATTTTAGTTTAATTGATTTACCTATATTTATTATTGTTTTTTTTTTATAAATTAGCTTGTTTCGTTTTGTTACTTCTATGGTTTCATTCTTTTTTTTCGCTGTCATCCCAAGTTAAACGTTTCGGCCAGCGACATTTTTCGTCGGCTGGTGGTGATTTTGGCAAAAAAACGCCCTGAAAAGTTAGTAATTATCCTTAAATTAGTGTAAAATCGTAATTTTAGTCTCTGTTTCATCAGTTTCAGTTTAAGTGTAAAAATTATACTAAAACTTGTGATTCAATGTCGGCTAGTGTAATGCTCTTACATAACTTGGAATCTAAGGACATAACCTGCTTTTCTATCATCTGATTTTTGTGTTTTAACTTTCAGAGCCGTAAAAATGTTGGGTCGCGCAGCACCAGGGGTCTGCCAAGTGGTGGCTTTGGCCAACCAGCAGCAGAACAGGAACATGGCTACCCTGAAAGCCATTTCCATCCGTCTGAAGTCTGTAAAGAACATTCAGAAAATCACCCAATCTATGAAGATGGTGTCAGCTGCTAAGTGAGTGGCAAGCTCTAATCTACAGTAGTAGTGAGATAAAATTTTGAAAATAGAATTAGAAAATAATAGAATTATAAAATCAAATTAGACTTGACAAGCTTTTGACATAGGTAGCTGAAATAGAAGTTTCGATTTTTTACACAAATTTGAAGAACAGTTTTAATTTGTAAATTCGTTTATACAAATTTTTATATAATTAGTTTTATTTTTACAAGCTATTGATACAATAACTGGGAATTGAAATAACTGTAGCAATTCGATCTGGTTGTCCACACGGGAGAGATTTTTTGAGATTTGTGTCTTTTATATGACTTTTATTGTAAGAAGGATTTTATAATAGTTTTATCATCATTCTAATTGATGATGTGGTGTGATGATTGCTAGTTTTCGTCACCCTGGATTCTTACATCAAGGTTAGTTAGTCATTCCTATAATATCCAGTTTTGTAGTAAAAATAATTGCTTGATATAAGCCAGTTAGACATCACATCATTTACTGATTACACCAATCTTATGGGTTGTCTAGAGTCTTCACTGACTATTTAGTTGTTAAAGGTAGGAATGGTCAATTGTAGGTGCCTGTGATTTATCTGACTGGAAGTGTTATCTTCCTGATATGTGACCTCTTCTTACATGGAGAAGGCACTGAATAATCACCACATTAGCTCAAGACAGAGTTACAATTTCAAACTTAGATTATAAAACTTAGAGAAATTGGTGTTGTCTCAATAACCTTTGGAATTGGCACAGATCTCTTGGAATAGGCGTTGTTCCGAACATGGGGCATCACGGACAAGAAGCTCCATACAAAATATTTTAAAACCAGTAGACAAATCAATTGACAGATAGACCTGTAACAGTAGAAAGTGGCCATGACTGCATCTACAGTAAATTGAGTAATATCCCATTTTTTATAACTACCTGACCTCGGAGTATGACTTGTGGTGTTCCAGGTACACTCGTGCTGAGCGTGACCTCAAGGCCGCTCGCCCGTACGGCGAGGGTGCCGTCCAGTTCTACGAAAGGGCTGAGGTAAATTAAAATACTCCATTTTTTCGTACTTTTAGTGGGTGTTTGACCAACAAGACACTATTTTCAGTTGTGTTAAAGCAATGATGGGGCTGACAATGAAAGAATATTCTTTATAATAACATATTATTATGATCAAATTATTAATAGGTTATTTAAATGTCATTCTGGTTGATAATTTGTTTTATTCCATGTTCTGTTTTCTGTTCTCTTCTGTTCTATGCTCAGTGCTTGCCCTTTTTCTGCATTTAAGTACTCTTTTCATATTTATATAGAGAAAATGGCAGATTCCTAGAGAGATGGCCCCATATCAATCTTTTTGTACTAACAAGTAAAATAATTCATTCATTATTTAGATAAATATGAGTAATTGATATATTTAAAATTATTGTTTGTTTCTCTTTAAGCCTTTGTCTGCCGACAGAAAAATGTTGAAGGCAAATCCTCCGCTAACGGAGGTCACCGGTGACCCCCATGGCGCTTAACGTGTTAAAGTGATTAAATATAAAGTGATAAAGGCATTTGATATCAAAATCCAATCCCATCACAACATGAGAGTGAAGGAAAAGCATAGCATGCATTTGAGTTAGCACATCCTTGAACATCATATCTGTGATGTAGAGGCCAAGTCTCTGTAAAATTAGGCTGCCAGATATATGCCATAAATTAAATACTAGTCAGTTCTAATTATGCACAGCACAAATACAGTACACGTAAAATTTTAGATTACCAAATTACTCACCATTGCCTTAAATCACCGTACGCGTAACATTAATCACCATTAGGCGGGCAATGCACATGCGACTCTGGTGTTGCTGAGTGTCCATGGTCAGTGTGGATTGCTTATTATCAACTTATTCAGGAATAGAAGTACATAGGTACTGCATATTCCTCCAGATTGGGTTTTTTTTGCAGTACTTCGATGGACATTATCTAGGACACTTGAAAGATCATGTTAATCTTTAACAATACAGTACTTGATATAATGTTTTCTATCTTTTGTCAGGTCGCCCCACCGGAGGATGACCCTAAGCAGCTGTACATTGCTATGACCTCTGACAGAGGTGAGTTGACTTCATTACTCAATACATCAACCGTAAAAATGCGTTTTGTAAAGTATAAAGTTTCATAATAATAATAAGAATTTGGATACAGAGTTGACGTAAAGAGACGATTACAACTTTTGAAAATATCATAACATTTGTGAATTTTGAGTAAGATTACTAAATTATTGTAATGTCTTAATTTTAATGTCCCAAACAAAATTATTTGCCTCACATTATCAAGAAACATACTAAAACTAAGCTTTGAAAGGCAAATTTCGTGTAGATTTATAAAAAAAAATCTAACAGCGATTTTAACGAACAGAATTTTTGTACTTGTTATACATCCTGTAGTACTTATTTTGTATACTAATCTTAAAATTATATCACATATAGAGACTATCATTTGTATGTATGTGTATGTATTTGGAACTGTTTTATCGTCTATATTGTTTGGGAATTTTAAAAGTTGAAGAAAACTATTCCTTTTCTAACTATTAAAACTAACTAACGTAAACTTAGCTGACGCACATAGGTAACTTCTTCGATCTTTTGGTTTAAATTAATTACTCTTTAGTTTTATTCTTTGATTTTGTTTTTGATTACTGTAAGTCCTGATTTGTTCCGAATTTTTAAATATGTATATGTAAATTGTAAACGATGCTATAACGAGCGCTATTCCCGCCGTCAAACTGTCTAAACAGTTTGGTGGGTTTATATTGTATAAATTTTTTTGAACACCAATAAATGAATTAATTATTTTCCGAAAGGTTAATAACTTGGATACGATAGCCCATTTACTCATTTACCAGTTATAATTATTCGATAATAATAATAAAAAATATTTGTCAGGTCTTTGCGGTGCTGTTCACACTGGTGTGTCGAAGGTAATCCGCACCCGTCTGGCTGAGCCCGGCGCGGAGAACATCAAGGTTATCTGCGTTGGAGACAAGTCCCGTGGTATTCTGCAGCGACTCTACGGAAAGCACATCATCAGTGTTTGCAATGAGGTCAGTTGGTCAAGTGAACTCTCCAAATATATTGTAGTACTATCAACCTGCCCCTGCTTTGGACGGATCCCCTTTTCCCCGATTTAACACCCTCTATTATTTATTTTTTATTATTTTTCTGTTTATAAAAACCTCCCAACAATAATAATTACAACAAAAAAATAATTTTCAAAATTGATCAAGGTGTTGTTGAGTTATGCGCTTTTTTTTTGTCAGAGGAAATCATCAAGTTACTTCTCCAGCCCAGGCTTAGGCGAGACTTACTGACTAAAAACTCCACCGCTCCTTCTGCTCTGGACCGAGGCCGACACTCTCTTTCGTATTACCCTGGGCGGGAGGAAGTCATTTGATGATTTTCTACTGACAAAAAACAAATGACTTCAAAGTCGTCTGGTTGCCTCCAAATGAAACCTTACCAAATGAATCATGATATTCCAGATCGGTCGTCTGCCCCCGACCTTCAACGACGCTTGCAAGATCGCGAGCGCTATCCTCGAGTCGGGTTACGAGTTCGCGTCAGGCAAGATCATCTACAACAAGTTCCGCTCTGTCGTGTCCTACCAGCAGTCTGATCTGCCACTCTACAGCCAGAAGGCTGTTGAGGTAAGTTAGTTTTATTTAATAGTTTTTACAAGTGTTCTTTTGGCCAAAGAGTAGTCTTCTAGATTATAAATCTAGTTGCAAAATGTTATTCAGGAGTTTTAAGACTGTAAGTTACCTCAAGACTGCTGGGGTAGAGAGGCAAGCGCAATAGCGCAATAAGAATCCGTGGCCTCGACCAAGAACTGAAGAAAGGACCGGGGGGGGGGGGGGTTTAGTCAGTAAGAGTATGACACTCCCTATCTCCTCCCCTGGGTGGGAGAAGTCATTTGATGATTTTCTCAGAAACAAAAACTCGAGACTATAATAGAATTTCAATGATTAGTGCTTTACACTTGAATTTTATATTAAGATTTTCTATTTACAATAAACTGTTCTAAACCTTACTTTTTATTACAGAGCGCCCCCAAGCTGGCGACCTACGACTCTTTGGACGCTGACGTGATCCAATCGTACATGGAGTTCTCCCTCGCCTCCATGCTGTTCTACGCTCTGAAGGAAGGCGCCTGCTCCGAGCAATCTTCCCGCATGACAGCCATGGACAACGCGTCCAAGAACGCCGGAGAAATGATTGACAAGCTGACCCTTACCTTCAACAGGACCCGCCAAGCCGTCATCACCCGAGAACTTATCGAGATCATCTCCGGTGCCGCTGCCCTCGACTAGACATTCTTGCAGTCGTTTTGCTGAGATTTTTCTAGTATTTTTTGCCTAGTTTCACTGTAGAATTTACTTGTATAATGTTAGTCTGTATTGAAATACGCGGGCGTTGTTATGTAATAACATACTCGGTCGTCACAAGAACTTGGCTAAAAGGGATTTAAGTCTAGGAATCATGCTATACGAAAAAAAATACGTCCCTAATATTTGTTTAATAAATGGGAGGTTTAATTTTGGGATACAAGTAAATTCTACATAACCTCAATAGTAAATCAAGTTTTGGCGCATTTATCTATTAAAGAATCAAATCAAATTTATTTTGATCTCAACAAAACGATGTGAAAATGAATCTGATCAATATTTATTAACCGGTTCGTTGCAAAATAGCATGTACATGGATGCCGACATTCCCGAACAAGTGTTCTGTATTTCGGTGGAAACTCACGCAAATATCGCTTCACTGGCTTCAACACCTTCCGCTGTTGTACAGGATACTTAGTCGATTTTTTTTTATCCAGTGCTGTTCACGAAATTTTGTTATGTAAGGATACAGTGGTGGCTAGCAATTAAATACCATTTTAGAAGATTTTTTGTTTTATTCTATTCATGTCCCTTTTTTAGTGCAAAATCCTGAGGGAGTTAGACTATTATTCCCTTATTACAAAACAAGATTTATCTTTAGTCTAGGCTTAATCCATTGAATCGGGTTTTGCATTTTGAATCTTATTCTCACCTACCTTCCAATTCTAAATACAAAAACTGGTTCAATGGTTTAAACCTAGACTAAGGCTAAGAACTCACGGAGCGATTTTCTCCCGCGTCCGCTGCGGTTGCGGGCCCGCAGCTTCTGTAGAATTCAAATATTTATATAAAAAATTAAAGCACATTTCACGACGCGTTTTACGCCCGCGGTGTACGCGGTTGTATGCGGCTCCCGCTGTACCGGCGGGCAACTAGTAGAATCGCGCGGGCCGCGGTTACCCGCAGCCTCGGCGGGTGGCACCCGCGCGCTTTGCGATCGGTTGGCGAGCGACCGCGGGGGCCCGCGGGTCTTCTGTGAAGTAAATATAACGCAACGGCTCGTTTCTGGTGTGTGTCCATGGCGGTCTGGACCTCAACTGGTCGTTAACCGCCCGTCTTGCAATCTTGCGATCATCGCCCGCCACGTTTGCGGGCGATGATCGCAACCGCGGCGGCTGTGTAACCGCGCAAGTAACCGGTCTCGTGAGTTTGGAAATTAAACCGCAGTTCCGCTACCGCGGCGGGCACGGTTCAAAATCGCTCCGTGAGTTCTTAGCCTAAAGAAACTTTGTTTTGTAATAAGGCCGATACTGACTAAAAACTCCCCGTTCCTTCTGATCTAGGCCAAGGCTGTAGTACTATCGCGCTTGTCCCACAAACCCGGCTGAATGCATACAGAGTAGAGTACCCACTGAGCCAAGTTTTATTCGGCCAGAGAGCCATGCTTCGGCTCGACCGGAGCGATACCACGGCCTCACAAACAACCGGCGTGAAACAACCACAGCGTTTTTTTCGCCATGTGAGTGAGGTAACCGGAGGTCCAAATTTCCCAATGCTTAATTAAATATCCAAAACCCTAATTCTCAAAAAGCCGGCAACGCACTCTCGTAACACATTTGGTGTGTCCATGAACGGCGCCGATTGCTTAGGTAAACAGTCTGCTGGTTTGACGTGACGATTTGTGTCATGAAAAAAATGCTGCGAGCAGCTATCTTAAATTGTAATTCGACAACGTCCAAAAGAATAACGTTTAATCCTAGACTCAGCAGGTTGCACGTGATAGGCTTACTTGAAAATTAAAAATCTATAAAGGTCCTCTTGTTTTAGTGTAGGTGGGGAGCGAATTAGGACTCACTTAATATAATTTATAGTTTAATGTTCAACAAAACATCTTTGAAGATAGATCAATCAACGTAACTCACTTAAATCTAAATTTTACATGTGAGCGCGAGCGTTACCGTTTCGAATGTCGGGTGGCCGGCACGGCGGCGTGGCGCGCTCTCGCGTACAACGTGCGTCGGAAGAACCCCTTTTGGGTTGCCAGATCATACCGCTTACTCTATATTGTGTTCAAGACACCAATTTATTGAAGGTACTCTGTGCTACAAATAAAAAAGGATACGAGGCTCTCTCCCATCAATAACTTTTCGTTTTTCGGCTAATTTCGTGTTGTAAATTTTTTTGACAGGATTTATCAAGTATATATCAGGTACTATGTATACCACTACGATTTTCACGATATCCCGGATGTCGCCAATTTCTCGTACATTTTACGTTGAGGTCGCCAGGCGAGTCCACGGCACTGGATTAAAATTTACGTGGACTCTCTGGACGAGTCCACGGCATATTCCTGCCAACGCTACGCCCACTCAAGTACACTAGCAAAAATGTTCAAGTATCTCAGTCCTCGAACATTTGCGAAAATTAGCTTCGAGATAGGACCTGATTTTTCATACCTTACGACTATGGGGCCAGGCATTTCCCAGTCTCAATTTAATTAAAGGCCTAACTATGTCTATATAGTTTTCTATTTTGAACTTTTTGACTGCTTCGACTATACTTAGCTGACAAACAAAGTCGTCGAAAACACGCCACCGGCGCGACATGCAGTGCCGGCGTAAGGGCCACTGACACCCCGAGCGAAAATATCGTGGCGCCCACTTGAGGGAAGCAATATCAAGTGTTACATTTTTGATCTGATCCCAAGTAAAATAAAAAATTGCATATGCATAGAGCGTAGAGCACAGTTTTGAGGGTGTTTGCACTAGGAGAGGCAAGAGACTCCAACTTCAGACCTTGGCGCCCCCCAGAATCTGTCGCCCTGGGCCATCACCCCATTACGCCCTCCCCCTAACGCCGACACTGGCGACGTGTATAGCCGATAATAAAATTTTGAAGTACCTACAAAGTTAGCACACATTAATATAAAGTGTGGGAGAGCCATGCTTCGGCACGAATGGGTCGGCTCGACCGGAGTGATACCACGGCCTCACAGAAAACCGGCGTGAAATAACCACAGCGTTGTGTTTCGCCGTGTGAGTGAGGTTACCGGAGGCCCAATCCTTCCCCTCCCCCAATCCCTAAATCTCCAAATCCCTAATCGGTCGGCAACGCACTCGTAACTACTCCGTTGCGAGTGTCCATGGGCGGCGCTGATTGCTTACCATCAGGTAATCCGTCTGCTCGTTTGCCGATCGTTTACATAAAAAAAAATATATATATATATATATAGGTAATATTATGAAATAGCACAGAGATTAGAGTGAATTGTGCCGTTGCATTTGAACTTTGGCGTAAAACGTGGATGCTGTCCAATAATAAGCGAATCATACATGAAGGCAATCTGGATATTTCCTTCATGGAATCATATGTTATATATTTATATAGTTATATCTAAGTTACCACAATTAAAACTTCAGTGTTACTCGCTGTAAATTTTTATTCACTTATTTAATGAAAATTCCATGGCAGTCTTAATGTTAAAATTATTCTAAAAGTCGTGAGCTCGTCACGTAATTAAAACAACATGATTTACTACATTTTGGTATCAACAATACGACATTATTTACAAAATCATTGTGAACTTCCTAACTTATTGGATGTTGGGTAGGTCTTGGGACGAGAACGGCAAACTTTTTAAACTATGGGAAAGAAACTAAACGGAGTCTGTTTCTATTGAAAATAACGTCTTCCTAACGTGAATGAACTGAGAGAAGCTCTACTAGTTTCGAGTCACAACGGGACGTGTTGTCGCCCCCACCAAAGCAGTTGGCTGCGCGACTTGGAGTTTTTCCCAGTTAATTCACGTAAGTCATTATTTTCAATTTACAATGTTACCACGATATTTACTATTCAGGAATCTATTTCCATAGTTCATTCATGATCATGGCACTTGTAATGTATAAATATCGTTCAAATAATATTACGACAAACATATTATTAGATGTAAGAACCTGTCCGCACAGCGAAATGACAATCGCGCGGATATTTTCGCACCGCGTCGCGTCAAAATTTGAACTCAGAGATATTCTTTGAAGCGATATTTTGTCGCCGGTACCTAGGTTAGTGTGTAGAATGTAATAACTATATTCTTACATTGACCACAGAATATAAGCTTTTTGCTTTTATGTACTGGCTAAGACACTGTCTAACATTATTTCGCTGTACAGATTGGTTATGAAAATAACAGTTTTAACTGGTAAATATTGCAACTTGGAACAGGACACTGCTTTGCAAAGTTACATGATGCAATGCATAATAAACTCTAAATATAGCTAAATAAAACCCAATCTCAAGTTTACCACTACTTTGTAATCAACAATAATCAATGAATACATTCGACCCTACAAAATACGCCTCTAAAAATGTCCTAACGATAATATTCTCAAAAAATCTCAGATTCCGAGAACTCTAGTTACATACTGAGTAAGATAGTTCAAACGTGTCCTAAAATAAAACATAGCATAACAATATTACTAATAAAAACTTCATATATTATAATTATTGATCTATATTACGTTGTGGTAGCGTGCGCGTTATTGCGTGTTCCTCTTGGCGGGTAAGCTGAATTGCAATTATTTTTTCTATCAACAGTCGCTACACAAGTTGTAATAGAAATGACATCGTTTCTTGCATAGATCTGCATTCTAGTAAACTATGACTCGTTGTCGTGGTGGCCCGGAGTTGATTATTATGGATGTATGATTATTTAGACACCACTGACAAACGGTGAAGGCAAACATCGTGAGGAAACCTGAACTTATAATATGTAATTGTAAGTTTGAAATCGCCAACCTGCATTGAGCAAGCGTGGTGATTAATGCTCAAACCTTCTCCGTGTGAGAATAGGCCTTTGCTTAGCAGTGGGCACTTGTAGGCTGACGATGATGATGATGATGCCTCGATTATCTTGAATCTTCATCTACGTTTTTGTTTTTTACATGTGGTATACTGGTTTTTAAATAAGAATTTACAATAAATGTTCAGTACAGAAGTATCAGCGAAGCACAGTTTGATAAATAATGAGCTGGCAGTGGTAGCCGGGTCACTCGGCGAGCGCAGGCAGCCGCGCGGGCGGCGTGTGCCAGACGGCGGAGGAGGTCCGCTTGAGGCGCGCGCGCTCGATGCGCGGGAAGATGTCGCGCAGGTCCGGCGAGTGCACGCGCACGCTGAACAGCCGGTCCACGTGCGCGCGACCGACCTGGCTCTGCAGGGCGAGCTGCCCGCGCCGGGCCTGCCGGACACACAAACATTATTATACCAACTATTTACAAGTACTTCTACTTTGCTATAAAACTACATTGTTTCGAAAACTGTCATAATCGTGTCATAACCCTTCCGTTCCAAACCAATCCATAACAACCCACATTCTTACCAACTACTATCGCATTTCCCTTAATTTAAACAAACTTCTGCCATTAACCGACAGGTCTACCAAATGACCCTGTGACGCACAGTATGAATGAAGTTAAAAAAAATTTAATCCTTCCCTTAAACTTCTCGTAACTTCATTCCCCCAATTCCTACATGCTGTAAATGTCCATAAACGACACAAATTGCTTAGATAATTCATACAGTTCTATCACATAATTTACGCCTTATTCACATTGCATACTATCCGCCTACAAAATTATGTACAAAAAATCAATCTGACACAATTTACATCGCAAACTCACCAACTTATAATAAAAAAACGGTTATTACCTTAGAAGTACTCCATTCTGGTACGGGCCTGTCGACTGGTTCCTCATCCTCGTCAGAATTAAGGTACTGGAACCCATCTGCCATGTATGCAGGGGACAGTTGTGTCTGCCACCCACCTGGAGTACCCGCTGACTTCAGCGGAGTATGTGCTGTGGAGAGATTGACATCATTAAGATAAATATTGTTAGAATTCTTCATTCATTTATATAAAACTGTCACCTTTTTTGGAATGAATTCTTTCTATAGTAACTATTACAGGCTTTTCAGAATAAATATTATAAAGAGGTAACATTTGTAAGTTTGTATATAAGCGGTAATCTTTGGAACCGCTGGTCGGATTGCCAGAATTCTTTCACTGATAGATAGCTACAATGTTCCTGGGTACCATAGGCTAGCTAAAACATCACGGTACGATCAAACGGAGCGGAGCAGCGGGTGAAACCGCGCGAGAGTAGCTGGTTTTCGATAAAGCCAATAGTTTTTTACATTTGGAAACATCTGAATACTGTGACGGAAAAGTGTTTCAAACTCTTTGACATCATGACGTCAATGGATGGTTGTCAAACGTTGCCTAGAGATTGTAAATTTCGTCGTGAATTGTCAATACGAGTTGGTGTAATCGGTAAGGCGTGTGGATTACACCACAGAGACCCCGAGTTCGAGTCCCGCCGTAAGCATGAACTTTCTGGAAGCTTTTGTGTGAAAGAAATGAAAAATTAAAGAGCGAGAAAGAGAATAAATAAAAATGAATAACGAAATTATTGGAAGGTTCTGGAGTCATGACGATCAAAAAGAATAACGAAATTGAATGTTCCAGAACCTAACCGAGGGGTATATAAGCGGAACTGCGGCTCACCGCTAACTGCCAGCGGTGAGCCGCAGTTCCGCTTCTAGTTCTAAGTCTAAAGCGATTCGGAAGAAAAGGAAGAAGTGAAAAAGAAGAAAAGTGAGTGAAATAGTGAAGTGCAGTCAGTTAAGTGAGTTAAGTCAGCGTGAACGGCAAAGTTGTGTCAGTCGGCCGGACTCTGCTGGAGAGGAACGCCGATAACTTAACTCCGTGGACGCTGTAACTTAAGTGCAATAGAAAGTCTGAAAACCGGTATTAGTGTTTCATTTCATCCAATCCCGTAACCCAAGCCCGCATAGTCAGGAACGTGACGTCAGGCACGTAACAATACTATAACCATTCTGTTGTTTTTTTGACAGGTTGAAACAAATCTCCGGACCTCGAACTTTTACGGATTTTTCTCCCATATATTTATTAATTTTATCTAGATCTGATAGTCAAGAATACAGTGTACATACTTTTGTCTTCCAATTTATGTTTCATCTTCTGCTTCTCAATGTACTCCTTCTGTCTCTTCTCAATCTCTTTCGCCATAATCGCGGCCTCCTTCTTCATACTGTAATAATTCAACAGATCAATTATTTAACCATTCAATCAGGGTAGTTCGGAATAGTAAGACAATAGGTGCGCGAACGCCGACGTTAGCATAAGGATGTAAATGAAAATATATGGCATTTACGTCTGTAGAAAGATTTCAAGTGTAGACACAAACTAATCTAGTTTGTGTTATCTACACTTGTTAATTTTTGTTTTTTTTTTATATGTTGCTCCACACTAGCATTTTCTACTGTGACGTGGATGCGTTAACAAATATACAATTTCATATATGTACTAACTTTTAAACTTTCGTGATTCATATTTACAACATAAATTACGCGGGTATTAACGCGAAAATAATTATCTAAACGTTTCTTTTCGACCTGGATGCACAGGTCGTGGTCACAAGCTAGTCGTCAAGCCTACTGAGGTATTTAAATAATTATTTTCTCTTGAATACCCGCGTAATTTATGTTGCAATTTCATATAAACATCACACCCAGCAACACGTAGCCCAATCACCGCGCCAACCGTGCAATCAAAGCGCTTTTCCATATGAACAAGACAAAACTAAATTTGAGACAATGTATTCGAGTTTTCTCTGTAGTAATAAGCTAAAATAATATACTAACGCGGCGGCCTCCTCCAACTGTTTCCGCCGCGCCTCGTCAGCCCGGCGTTGTTCCTCAGCGAGTCGTTGTTGCCTGGCCTGTTCCTCTGCACGCCGCCTCTCCTCAGTCTCGGCTACTTTGCGAGCTAACTCTTGCTTTTTCTGAAAATATTGGAAATAGGTGAGTCTGGTTGATGTTGCAGTTATGTTACATTTAGTACGCCGTGGTGGACCAAAGAGTATTTTGTAAGATTTTCTAGGCGAATGTATAAAGAATTGCATTTTACTGCAATTTTTTGAAGTCATCAATCCACATTGAGTAAGTTCGTTGATTATTGTTCTGATCTTCTCCGTGAGAGAAGATACCTTTACTCATCAGTGGGCTCTTATAGGCTAATAGCTTTGGGTACTAGCTTTATATGAGTATTTGAGTCTGGTTAGGTTGTTTACATGACAGGTATAATTTGCTAAGCGTAAGTAGTGCGTAGTTCCATACCCGCTCAGCCTCCTTGAGCCGGTCGAGCTTCCCCTGGTCAGCATGCGCCTGCTTCTCCAGTCTCTCCCTGGCGGCCAGCTCCAGCGCGGCGCGACGCTCGCGCTCCGCCGCCTCGCGCGCCGCCGCCGCCGCCGCCATCTTTTCTTCTCGTTTCCTACAACATTATAGAGGTATTTTGTTGGTAAAGCTAAGATAAAAACCAGTTATGTAAAAAATCACACTCCCTTTATTTTTATGATCAGACAGATCACCTAATGGTGATTGGTTGTGGTTGTGGACGATCAGTAACGCCCAGACACCCTACAACCACATTACCAGAGGCATCGCAGGGGCGTTGCCGGAAGGAGTTAGCTACTTTTTTGAAGGTTTCAAACCTTCGTACCAGTTCGGTAATACCGCCACAGATTTAATTATTTCCGGGATGTTCGTATAAAAAGATAACATTTTGTGGCAACACATTAAAATATTGATATAACGATACATTTATGTAAAATTTATTAATGAAGGCATGATTATTACACATTTTATTATATATTTTTGAGTATTTTTATGGTTTTATTGGTAGAAATAATTTCTTTTTAAATAAGGACACTACCTAATTGCCAAGTTTCACGATTCTATAACAAGCAGAAATAATGTTTACTTTTCAGATTCTAAGATTTTATTACAAAGTTCGTTACAAACCAATTTATAAAAAACTTATTACAAAACCTCCTACCTCTTCTGCTGTTCCCTCTTAGCCTCGAGCATGGCTTCCTTCTTCTTCCTCGCGTCTTCCCTCTCTCTTTTCAGTTCCTCCGCCTCTCTCGCTCGGTTTATCCCGCTCAGTTTCGACGTAGACGAGGGTATTAAAGACTTCGTTGACGTTAATACGTTTGCACGCGGTTTTGTCGCTGAACTTGATATCTGGGGGAGGAGAATGAATATGGAGTATAATGTCTGCTGATGCTAGAGAGACAATGGATTAAGCTAAAATGGAAATAATTATTATTGTGAAAAATCTGTTACTTGAAATAACATTTTTCTTTTTTTTTATAACAATTCCGTTGCTCGGATTACACTCGGATTTGTCGGTGTGCGTGTCGTGGGTAAGTAAGCTTGGGTATACAGGCATACATAATCATATACACACGCCATGCCACAACAACTTGTAGATTACAGTGTCGTTCTGTGAGGGAATCAAATCCACGACACACGTTGCACAGCAGCCAGTTATAATTTGGTTGTTAAACAGAAAATCAAAGAATTCGATTTAATTTGATGAAAGATGATTAGCTACAATTCTATTTCGTATTATAAAAACCACCCCCTTCTTTTTTCTACTCAGGGCCAGGGCCGCGGTATCTTATTGCGCTTACGACCGCGTTCCTAGACTGACCTGGTCAGGTCCGAGAACTCTTAAATACAAATACAATACATACCTGTGGCGGTTTTCCATTGAAGATCATATTATTCATCTTGTTGAGTGTCTCAGCAGAGAGTACTGGTTTCACTATCTTGTCGGGAGGCGTGTGAGTTTCCTCTGGTTGTTCCTCCTGGAGACAGGCACAAAAGTTATCGAATTATTTGCTTATAATTACATTAAAATGTGGGAGAACCATGTTTCGGCTCGACTGGAGTGACACTACGGCCTCACAGAAAACCTGCGTGAAATAACCACAACGTTGTGTTTCGCCGTGTGAGTGAGGTTATCGGAGACCCAATCCTTTCCCTCCCCCAATCGCTAAACCTCAAAAGCGCACTCATAACTCTTGTTGCGGGTGTACATGGGCGGCGCTAATTGCTTACCATCAGGTAATCCGATAGCTAGTTTGCCGACCGATTACATAAAAAAAATTGTGGATATTGTGGCAGTTTCAGTTTTGATGATTGATAATGAGAGGTTTTAAAAGCAGAATCATACTTCGGCACGAATAGCCCACGGCCATTGGAATGAGCCGGCCCTCAAACAGCGCTGGGATATCTCACGGAATTACGGAAGGTTCAATCCTAATAAAAAAAGCAAACATACCTTCTTAGCCATGGCTCTCGTTTTCGTTCTGGTCACTCTTGACGCTAACTCCTCAAACTGCTGCACTTTCTCTTTCACTGCAGATCTGAAATAGAATTATATAAAATGGAAATTATATAAAATGGAATTTAAAGCGATATTGTTTGGACCGATTGGAGGAAAAACGTAAGTGGCGCCACCTAGGTAAAGGAGATGAAAAATATGTCAAATGACTGATCACACTTGAATATTTTTTATGTTTTCATGATCCCCTCAACTGTCGTTACAAACACGCATGCGCTTGTAAGTCAAAAAGCCACAACAGTCGCGTAACAGATCGCTCACCATTGGTCGCTGTAAAACTAACGTTTATTTGCCTGTACCGACACGTCCTGCGTTTATTTAACTCCGGCTCGACCGGAGTGATACCACGGCCTCACAGAAAATCGACGTGAAACAACCACAGTGTTGTGTTTCGCCGTGTGAGTGAGGTTACCGGAGGCCCAATCCTTCCCCTTCCCAATCCCTAAATCTCCAAATCCCTAATCCCTAAAAGGTCGGCAACGCACTCGTAACTCCTCCGTTACGGGTGTCCATGGGCGGCGCTGATTGCTTACCATCAGGTAATCCGTCAGCTCGTTTGCCGACCTGTTACATAAAAAAAAAATTAAAAGAAATATGTAGTTCATTTTTTTACTATTTTAATTCGTAACGATAGTTGAGGGGAGATTAGGGTCTGGGGGAGGGGAAGGATTGAGCCTTCAATAACCTCACTCACACTGCGAAAAACAACGCTGTGGTTGTTTCACACAGGTTTCTGTATCAGAGCCGACCCAATCGTGTCGAAGCATGGCTCTCCCATAATTAAAAACTGAACACATTGGTTGACTTACGTGGGCTGTATGACGGGAGGAGATTGTTTGGGTGGCGTGTGCATATCTGGTGCGTCACTGTCGTCCGTCAACAAAGAATTGTCGTCCGTAATGTTTACTTGCTTAGGGTCTGGAATTGAATAAAAATATTTTATTAACAGAAAGCATAAAAAAAATGTTTTGCCAACTAACTAATCACATATCTCGTGGTGCCCCGGAGGTTAAGGCGCTTTTCATACATGTGTCACTATAATATGTACTTTCTATAATTATTTAGACACGTCTGAAATACGGAGAAGGAAAACATCGTTTGCAGGCCTGGTTGCTTAAGCCTTCTCTATGTGAGAAGAGGCCTTTGCTCAGCAGTGGGCACTTATAGGCTGATATAAAAATCTAGTTTTATTTAAATTATTCAACTGGATTGATATTTAATATTACGCACATTAATTAAGACATATTTATTGGAAACAGAGAATCTGGTAAACAGACGAAGGCGGGTTGATGTCTAGTTAAATATAACATGAAATATTTACCTTTATCGATGACGACTGTGGCATCCATAACGTGATTCTGTTGTTTATCTAGAACCATTGTTCCTCTGTTTGCTGTCTCTAGTACTACTGTTTCGTTCAGATTGCGCTGCAAATAGAAAGAAAAAAAGTTAACATAGATCTGACTGAAGCTTATATTATCAATTTTAAAAAAAACTTTCAGATATGCAAGCTAAAATAGGATTAGCAAACTGAAGTGGTAGTGGGCAGGTCACATTTGTCGAAGAACTGATGACCGTTGGAGTAGACGTGTTCTTGAGCGGAGACCACGTCTGCTAAGTGGACTGACGATATCCGCAGGGTGGCTGGCAGTGATAGGATGAGAAAAGCTAAACATTGGGCTCAATGCCTAGCTATTGGGGAGACTGGATTGGTTTGGGGAGATGTCCAGCAGTGAACGAAAACAGATGATGATGATGATCGAACCCAAGGCTTTCAGTGTTGGATAGCTCACATTCCAATTTATATTCATTCAAAATTATATTGTTTATTGCATTACATTATACTTCATTTTTCGAGGAAGGTTAATAAAACATCAAGCTACGGCCAATGAGATCGAAGTAGCGGGTGAAACCGCGCCAAAGTTCTTATTCGATAAAATTTATAATAATAAACTGGCGTGAAATACATTTCCATAGGTCCAAATGGCCACCCTTTAGACGTTCATTAGCGAGGTAGTTTGATAACCACAGGAAACAAAAGTTACTGTTACAATTCCATTAAAAAAGAGAAGTACTTACAACATTCTTAGGTGTCACCGGCGCATGATTATACACTCCGTTCGGTATAACCACAGTTTTGTCCATATCCCCGACCTTGTCGATCACTCGAGTTTTGTCTAGGGCATCGACTTCATCTAAATTCAACCTTGTCAACTCGACAACAGGGTCCTTTTTGCTTTTGTTCTTAGACGCCTCTTTTTGTAATATTGGGGATGAGGGTTGTGGATGTGAGATGCGTTCTTCTTTCGGTGTTATGTTAGTTTCTGGGGCCGGTATTGGTGGTGGTGTGGCGTTTTGTTTCTCTTCTGGTTTTTCACTGTGAACAAGAAAATTAAGTTTAATTGTTGTCATGTATATCTTTTATATTTTTTCTCTACAATTGCCAGAAACTCAAATATAACATATTTATTGCACTACAAAACACTGAAGTGCGGCGAGGGAGGGCGGAGAGGGAGTGTCAGACTTACAGACTCTACCCCGTACCTGGCCTGCAGTAGGAGACTGATCTCCTTGGTGTAGGAGACTGATCTCCTATTGCAGGCCGGGGCCAGGATATATTATTAAGCTTAACCCGCTAGGATATATTGAGAGTACTTTGCTCAAGATAAATTATAGAATCAGGCGTTACTTTGCGGAAATCCATGACATTAACACCCGGTTTCTGAAAGGCTTGTCAATGCTATCAATCAAAATTAACTAATTTGTCAAGTCATCTGATTGGTTGTTGATAATTCAGTCAACCAATCAGATGACTTGACAAGAGATTAAATTGATTTTAACATTTATCGGCCTTTCGGGAACCGGGTGTTAATGTTATGAAAAATATTTAGTTTTTATTCCGCGACAAAAATCCAGGCTTGTTGCAGGATGCTATCCCACTCTTATGTAATCATGCATATGCACATGCAGCAAAGGTGACATCTGATGATTATCCCCACATAAAAAAACCGTAGCCCCGCGCGAACTATAAGGTTTTTAATATAGGTAAATCGAACATTACTTTTTTTAAATTTATTATTGATGCAAGTTACTTACGCTGCTTTCGGCGCTCTCCTAGTCCTCTTAGGTCGCGGTTTTTCTGCAGGGGAAGCTGAAAAGATATTTTTTTTCATGTCATTAAGTTTATTATGATATTCTGCGTCTGGATGGAGCAAGCTGGCTGCAAATAGTAAAGGATAGAGAGAGCTCCCTTCTCACCTAAGGGGTGGTTTAGTTTAGATTTTTTATATTAACTTCAATAATGTGGGATAAAGAAAATAATGTACTGGACTTACCAGGAACACTTTCTTGTGATTCCGTGCTTTTGTCTGGTTCCGGGGCAACTTCTGATACTTTCTGTAATAAAGATCAAATAGATGAAAATGTAGGAAAAGCCAAACCAACAGAGTTTTAAATGGGTTGTATTGATTTCATTTTCAAAATATCAAGAACAAACATTTTCTGTAAATTTTATTTGAAATAACCCGTATTAAAATAACCACGTCATAATTGTCGTCATTGTTAAAATAATTTATTTTCACTTGAGGAAATATCCAACTAAGTGTAAAGATACACGAATCCATGAAGGTTTACCAACTTTCATAAAAAAACTGTAATCTCAAACCCAATTATGGCAAAAAAAACCTTATAAACACATCATTTGTGCACATAAATCTTCAGCTAATAAAGTTATTTGATACAGAGGGCGCCCATTGTCTAGATCTTGAGATTCCAGCCAAAAGGTGTCAAGGGTAGTCAAGAATACATTACCTTCTTAGCCCTGGTACGTTTGGGTCGCGTGTCAGGCGGTGGTGGCGCGGGGTCCTCAGCCTCCGTGTGGCGCGCTGAGCGGGAACTGGCGCGGGTCGACCGCGCTGATGGAACTGACGAACAAAAAGAAAATGTTATTTCGTCATAACATACTAGCTGGCTAAGTGTGGGAGAGCCATTCTGCGGCACGAATGGGCCGGCTCGACCGGAGTGATAACACGGCCTCACAGAATACCCGCGTGAAACAACCACAGCGTTGTGTTTCGCCGTGTGATTGAGGTTAACGGAGGCCCAATCCTTCCCCTCCCCCGATCCCTCCCAATCCCCAAATCTCCAAAACCCTAATAGGTCGGCAACGCACTCGTAACTCCTACGTTGCGGGTGTCCATGGGCGGCGCTGATTGCTTACCATCAGGTAATCCGTCTGCTCGTTGCCGAACTTCAGACAGAGGCCACGTTACGTTATTACTCTGGCTGACATGTGAAATACTAAGAGATAACGCAAAAGTGTGGGAAAGTCCAGCTTCAGCACGAATGAATCGCCTCGTGTAAATTAAGTTACCGAAGGCCCACTACTTCTACTCTAAACTCTAATTCTAAACAAGAAGCTGACAATAACATTCTAAAAAAGAATACTGTTCGTTTATCTCGCTAAAACTCGAGAACGGCTGTTAGGTACATTTTGGACAATGTTGGTCATAAAATATTAGTTTTTCAATTTTTAGAACTGACAATATGACAGTTTTATGACATAACTATCTAATCTCGTGCGGCTTCACCAGCTGCTCAGTTCCTACAGGTCGTACCGTGATGTTTTATAGCCTATAGCATTCCTCGTTAAATGGACAAACTAACACAAAAAGATTTTGTTAAATTCGAACCAGTAGTTCTTGAGATTAGCGCGTTCAGACACTCTACAGCTTTATAATCATCATCATCATCATCAGCCGGAAGACGTCCACTGCTGGACAAAGGCCTCCCCTTTAGCTCTCCACGTCGAACGACAAGTTGCCCCCTGTATCCATTGGCTCCCCGCGACTGTGACGGTCCACCTGGCGGGAGGCCTGCCCACACTACGTTTTCCGGTCCTTGGTCGCCACTCTAGGACTTTTCGGGCAGCTTTATAATATATTTATATAAATAATAATGACTATCATAAAGTAAACTAGAAATAACTCACCTGGGGGTACATTATCAGTCTGTTTCCTCGTTCTGGTAGTCCTTCTTTTACCTGAACCTTCGTCCTCACTGCTTTCTTCTACTTTCTCTTTAGGTGCCGCTTTTCGTGGCTCTGTATAAGAAATTGTGTTATTATACCTACCATTCTGGAATTTACAAAAACAGTATAACAATGCTTTTCTTTAGTTATCTAGTTCATAAGTGTGGGAGAACCTAACTTCGGCACGAAACCACCATAGCATTCTAGTGCATTATGTGAGTGAGTTTCGCAGAGACGCTACTCCTTAATCCCTAAATCCCCGAAACTCTTAATTCTTAAAAGTTCCGCAACATTTGGTGTCGTATAGACATCTATGTGTATATAGACACCCATTTATGAGTGGTGCCGATTGCTATGATTTTCTCAGTCACATAAAATTGGAACGGGGAAAAGAATGCGTAATGATTACTATTGGCTGTGGAGCAACGAATAGTCTAGCTCAACATAAAAATAACTATTCAAATGGAACTTGTAGAATAGCATGTTAAAAAAACAAAAAAGCTCTTCAGCTTTACAATATTAGTATAGATTATGATTTCACTTACTGGGCACGGGTGCAACTGGCGGCGGCATGGCAATCTCGTCCTTATTAACTTCCTGTTTGATGGGAATGTCGACTGGCAAGAAATCGGTGTCCATAGGCTCTGGTGGTAGGGAGATCTTTTCTTGTTTGACTGTTGAATAAATCATTTTAATATCAGTTAGTTGGGCATACCTTCATCAGATAAAGATAATTTTGTTTTGTAACATTTTAATGGTGTCAAAAAGAACACATAGACAAGTTCAGTCATATTTTAGCACATAGGCATGCAAAAGATATAAAAAGTAAAAATATACAACCAGAAATTAGGTACAATTAAAAATATTACAAATAAAGTAGGTGCACAGAAAATATCATAAAAATATATTTCTTAGCGTCGTATTAGTTAGTTATAATACGCTTTCACCACTAAAAACCTTCTTCATCATCATTATGATCAGCCTCTAGATGTCTTCTCATACAGAAAAGGTTTTAGAACAAACCGCGACTCTTATTCAAGACGAATTCAGCTATACATATTATAAGTTCAAGGTTCACAATGTTTTCCTTCATCATTTTTGCCAAGTTCGAGCCCGTACCTACATGTATGTAACCTCCGGGCCATTTTTAAATATTATTTTGTTCGAGTTAAATATAACCTTATAATTATATGCTTTTTTTTGTTTTTTTTTTGTGAGGGGAAAATCATCAAATGACTTCTCCCGCCCAGGGCCGGGCAGGAGGAAGTGTCAGACTCTTATTGACTAAAAACCCCCCTGTTCCTTCTCCTGCTCTGGGCCGAGGTCGCGGTGCCTCATTGCGCTTACCCCGCAACCCCGGCTGAACATCAGCCCTTTAGGGCCCCATCTGTGGTGGTCTAATGGCTCTTTGAGGCGCGCGCTGAAACTATATGCTTGTAGACTCTAAATATAACTTACTTTGTATATTGAGTACCGGTTCATGGTTTTCTTTATCATCTTCCTTACGTCGCCGCCCGCGCGACGCCTTCTCTGTGTCCTCACGACGTAGCTTCTGGGATAGGTTGACATTCACCTACAATTAAGCATCAAAATATTAATTAACCTTTTGATTGTGGTACTTCAGGACACAATAGAATTACAATAGGTGTGCTAACACCACATTCACTTGGGTATCATTAATATTATGTTTCAATATTACAATTTTATTTGAAGTTTGAACCAATTTAAATGAAACATTGTTAATTAAAAACATTGTAGATAGAAACTTTTTTCAAATCATGATTAAATTCTTTAATAGAATTCTACACTTCATACAAGAGCAAATTACTTAAACAAAACCAGACCTTCAGTATGCTTCCACATAACACAAAATTTTAAATACAATGAGTGGTTGTATTTTCAAATTCCTTTCATTGATAGATAGTACAGTACAGGCGTTGGTAGTAGTACAGGAGCCAAGCAGCAAATAAAACCAAATGTAGAGTAGCTATCTACTATGTAATGATGACAATAAGCACTCATTCAAGAATGGAGCCACTAAGAAAAGAGGTCAATTTACACTGGATATGTACCTGTTTACTAATAATACTCTGTGCCTTAACGGAAGCATTTCTCTTTTGTCGTTTATCCTGTTCCGGACTGAACATGTCATCGACTTCATGTTTGCTGCGTTTCTTGGAAGCTCGCCGCGGTCTGTCCGAGTTGCTTTCTGATGAACTTCGACCAGTTGTGAGGTCCGTCGTCGATTTGTTGCTGGATCTTCGTTTACTGTTGTCTGTTTCCAATGATTTTGTTGTTTCATCTAAAGTATAATTTTTGAATTAATAAATGGTTTGAAGTTTGTAAGAGCTATGGCTTGACACAAATAGGCCAGCTTGATCGGAATGATGATATGGCTCTACAGAAAACCAGTGTGAAATAATTGAACTTTTGTTTCGCTGAGTGAGTGAGATAAATAGAGGCCCAACATTCCCTTCTCCATCTCTCCCAATCCTTTAATCAATAAATGGCTGGCAATGCATTTGTATCTCTGGTGCTGTTGTCCCATGGGCCTCTTTGATTGCTTACTATCAGGTAATCTGTCTGCTTATTTGCCACCAATTCACATAAAAAAATTGTATTTTTTTACAACATATGGTAGTTTCCAACTAGTCAAATTAAATACTTTTATCAAAATGTCAAAAATTATACTTTTCTATGAAATTTGTATTAAAAACTGAGTTATGACATCACAGTTTTTTTGAGTCAAATAGCTTACTTATTCCTAAAAATTAGCTAAAAAGTATCTGAAATTCAATGTATCGATTGATTGATGAATAAGAGTATAGTTATTTTTCAATATTTGATTGTATTGAAACGTCGAATTATTTTTGACCTAGAAAACTACCCAATTTGTCTAACTTTGCTCAAGGATTGTGGTTAGTATTTGTTTGTGAATAAGTTCTATACTTAAGATTTTTGATAAAATAGGTAATTGTAATAATAAGTTTCACAACAACCTAGAGTCCTAGTAGACAAATAAATGCAATGTTTTTTTTTTGAATGGATGTAATACAGATGATACATTTCCATTTTATGAGAGGTATTAAATCACTGAGAAGTTTGGTTTGTCAATTCTCAATAGATAGAATAGATTAGTTAGAACAATATTATATTTTTTTAGTTATGATTTTTTTTTGTGAAATTAAGGAAATGATAGAATTTAATTGAAATACAAAGCATATTCTGAGAAAAACTTGGATAGATTATGTGAAGAAAGTAATAAGAGCAAGCTGTTTGTAATAAATTGTCATTTTTTAAAATAGAATGGAAGAATTGAAAAGATATGATGAATTACAAAAGTGATTTTATTGTTTTGTATGCTTTACATAGTTGTTTTTTGGGTAATTGTTTTCAAAATTAGTACATTTTGGCACTTTGTTACTGTTGAATTGTAATTATAGACTTTTCTAGTAGTCAACGTTGGAATTAATAGATTTTCTAAGTAAATAGAAGTTATTGTAACTTTAAATTTTAGGAAAGTTTTAAATTAACTTTGTAAACATTATAGAAAGACTTCATAACAAGCTTTATTGTGTTTTAATATTGAAGAGAGTATTTATCATTCAAGTTAGCAAGATAAAATTGTGTGGAAATGTCCAGAAACAGATTGTGAGAAAAATACAAAAGTCTAATAAGTGAAAACCAACAGAAGCTTGATCAATAGAATTGAGGAAGTGTTTTAATGTGTTAGTAACACGAAAAGTGTTTCTGTAACAAAAAAATATTGAAATAGTCCAAGCTTTGAGCACTTTAGTGGGTTGTAAACAGGTCTTGAACCAACAAGTATTATTGTAGACATTATGACCATAAAAAGCTGATAAATCGGAGGCAAATGTCCCAATAGTACTTTACCTTCATCCTCGTGGATACTCTGAAGGGTCGTCATGGGGTTTTTATCCTTTGTAGCTTTCTCCCGCGCCTTTCCTCGTCCATTTTGAAACTCCTCCTCAAACTTATCAAAACAATCGAACACGGCCTGCAAACCACAATAAAAATAACTTTCACTCACTCTTGAAACACTAATAGACATTAAAACCACACATTTAAACTAATTAAAGCAATAAAACACAAATGAAATCGTTACACAGAGTAACAGATTGAACGCACTAGGTATCAACACAACTTTTTCACAAACACGCGTTTTACCTTGAGGTCATCATTGAAGTTTTTAGTAAAAGCATTTGATATTTCATTGATTTTCGGTAATAACTCATTAAAAATAGACATAACTATGGTAGAAACTACACTTTTTCAAAAGTTTCGTCAATTTGACAAACGCCATAAAACACTACACGATCGAAAACGGTTTGAAATTGAAAAGACGGTTGGCCAACATTCCGGTATCATAAATTGAACAGCCGTTGGGATGCGTTCCAATACTTTATGTTCGGATACACTCTGGGACAAATGGTTTCATTTATTTCAATTTTTTGTAGTGTAATCTTTATTTTTTATGATATTTTGGAAACATTATGGCAAAAGTTAATTCACTATTTATATGTTTAGTGTTTAGTTTTTTTTGTTGAGTTCAGCTACATGGCAATCTGTTTTTCAACAATAAGCCGATTCTTTGTCTGATTTTATGTTTTCGTCAAGAGCCATATCTGTATGAAAATTCCTTTCACACGTCTCTCTTGTTGTCAAGTGGTAAATCTTTTATATAGGCTCGGTATGCCACTTCTTTTTAGCCTGGTATGCCGAACAGAGTCTTCCCTCAGAGCGTGTACCAATGTGTTTAGACTGTCAGTTTGTCCTGATATTCCAAACTGTTTTGAGTTATTTCCTGTCGAACTGTTTTTAGGCCGAGGTCGAGGTATATGTATATGGTACTAATACAATGGGGGATGCCAAACATTGTTCAAAAAGCTTTGGTTTGGAATCTCTCTAGGATGTCTATGTTGCTATTGCTGGCCGTTCCCCACAGTTGTATGCCGTAAGTCTATATTGGTTTAAGGTGGTTTTGTATACTAAAATCTTGCTGTTACAATTTATTTGCGATTGGCGTCCCAACAGCCAGTTCAGTGACCGCAGTTTTCCATCAAATTGTTTGCGCTTTGACCAAATATGCTTCTGCCATGTAAGTCTCCTATCTAGTTGCATGCCTCAGTATTTTGCGCTATGACCTTGGGGGATAACTTTGCAGTTGAGCGTTACCGGTTACATTTATATTTCTATTTCTCTCCTGATTATGTATATTATTTATATTTCTCTCCTGAGTGTAAAAGTTACATGTACCGATTTGTTCTCATTGGCTTTTATTCTCCAACGCTTCAGCCATACCTAACTTCCGTCAGATGATTTTGCAACTGTGATGATTCCGTTTCTGGGTGCTATGAGCCGACAGTAGTGCCGTGTCATCAGCATATGTCGCAGTTGTAGTGTAATCAGTTGTTGGGATATCTGCTGTAAAGATAAGGTATAATAGACAGGGCCCAAGATACTGCCCTGAGGAACACCTGATTTTATTTCGTGTACTTCTGAAAGATCATCGGTGTACTTCACTTGGTAGCATCTTTTATCTAAGTAGGACCTTAGTATTCTGAATAAACACTGCGGCAGTTGCTTCTTTACTTTGAACAAGAGGCCGTCTTGTTATACTTTATCAAACGCTTGGCTCATATCCAGAAAAACAGCACATACCTAGTGTTAAGTAAAAAAAAAATTGTCTATTGCGAGTCGGATTCGCTCCTGCAGGATGTAGCAGCAAGTAAAATATTAATACAATGTATGATTATGACTTACCAAAAAAAACTAAATCTCTGTTAAATTATTTTTGAAGAAAGTTTACCTGGTGATACACATTTTTTTATACAATTACCGTGGTGTCGGTTGGCGCGTAATAACCTACTTTTCATTATGGGTGGGTTTTAATGTGGGTGAGCCAAGCTGCCGCACGAATATGTCGGCCCGACTAGAGAGATACCACGGTCTTACAGAAAACCGGCGTGAAATCTTCCCCTTCTCATCTGTCTCCGATCGCTAAATGTTCGAAACTATATACCTAGTCCGGCAAAACACTCGTAACTCATATGGTGTTGGAGGAGTTGGGGAGTCAGTAGGCGGCGTCGATTACTTCCATTTAGGTTTTCCGTAGGCCCGATGTCACATAAAAAAAATGCCATAAGCGAAAATAAGACACAGACTTCACAGTACTTTTTACGTGGAAATGATCACGGATAAAGAGTTGCACTGGCTGGCGTCTTATCAAAGGGATAATTTTATAAAACAAAAGAGAAACCGGCCTGGAGCAAGAGAAGGAATGGGGTGGTTTTCAGTCAGTTAGAGTCTGTCACTTCCTCTAGCCCCACCGTGAAGTTGTTTGACAATAATCCTGCTCAACAAGGAAATAAATCAGTAAATTACTAAAACTTTATACAAAGCAACTACCTAGTTCTATACATATAGGTATGTACAGGCCCGTTTTCAATATAACAACGCCTTTTATGACGTAATAAAAGTTTATGAAAATTTTATTAGCACTCTTGAATCGCTTTTAACGTTAAAAAAACGATTTTGAACAGCTAACGAGGCACTGAATACATACAGCTAGGCTATGTTGACAAACCTTAGTTACGGTCGGCTAGTGAATTTTCCTGAGGAAGTTTATTAGTTTTGTTTAAAATTATTCAATTTATTGAAAAAATAAAACGACTTACGTACTATTTATCGGAGGAAATCTCTATTAGTTTCAATTTACCTCGGAACTCTTATACACGAATAGCGTGCTAGTCGACATTGTCGCGTCGCCGTTTGTGAGGCCGAATCATCAAATGACTTCTCTCGCTCGGGATATGGCAAGACGGAGTGTCAGACTCTTACTCATTAAAAACCTCCGTTTATACCTGCTCCAGGCAGAGGCAGTGGTTCCTTATTGCGCTTCGCCCCTGACCCCGGCTAACCGTCTGTGAGGCCACGATTTCAGTATGGTCGAAACCACAGAAATATAAAAAACAGGAGAAGTGGCAAGGGGGCGTGTCCGTGTCCGCGGCACTTGCGCGAAATGCTCTTGTACCGTCAAATGGCCGATCATTTAGCAAACTCGCAAGATCGCGAACGTGCTCGTAAATAAATTTAAAATGCCGTGTTGTGCAGTGGTTTCGTGCAAGAACCGAAGCGAAAAAAAAAGTCTGGGTCATCACGGAATCCATTACCATATGTAAGTACAAGTTTAATACTATATTTATCTTTAAAATCAGGAAAAACAACAAATCTTATAAAATCCGTTGCTGTTACTACGTTATTTTTGTTTTCAAATACCGAAACAACTTTATTACTCTTACACTAAATACATTGCTGTTTAAGCACAACCTAATTTTGATGCTCAGAAAATGGACAAGCAATGTAAATATAACATAACGATACTTTATTAGTGCGATATGTTTTATAATGCGGCCGCTGTTAGATGCGACGAGATAGTGATGTAGCGTGTAGGTATAGATCTACTAATGTATCGATCACAATATCGATTGTTTGGATATCCGAAGTGAAATAATATATTATTTTTTTATTTTACAGAGTAGTAGAAAAATACGTTAGCAACTGTCGTAAAGTAAGTTGGTTAAATTGTAAGTTAATAGTTGGTGAACTATTTTTAGGTTTCGGATGTCTCATTATGTTATGCGTTATCTTGGTGTTATTTCCTGACTTTATCTGATTTTGACATTTTATCTGCGTTCTTTAAGTCTTCTAAAGCTTCGAATGCGCTATAATAATACGCATGATACAGAATATATTAACAACTTATGCTTAAAATAAGGTTCATAACATTTTCTAGCTCTTTATTTCTTATGCATGGGTGTGTGTTGTATTTCATATAGGTATTTGACAATAAATAATAATAATAAATAAAATGTTTATTTGTTATAAAAAGGTAGATTACAAAAAGTATAATATCTTAAGTCTTGAAACAAGCTTTGTACTAGGTTTTTTTTTCTAATTTTTTTTTACATGGTAAACTTTAGCAGTAGCTTAGGTAAAACTGATAACTAAAGTGTTATTTTATGCTTTCAGTTTCCCGAAAGATGCCACTCGAAGGCCACCTAATTGGTTCCCTACAAAAAATAGTACCGTATGCTCAAGTCACTTTGAACCAGAAATGTTTCAGCCTCTAAAAATCTTCTTTTCACAGGTCTGTGAGTAAATACAATAACAGGCAATCAACAGTAGTACATTGATTGATCAAAAATTTGTAATTTCTGAATATTATGAATACAATTTTTATTGTTTTTTTATTAATATATAATTTTCTGGACACTTTGATTTTTATTTAATGTGTTTTTGAAATCCAAAAAAAATAATACAATAAAAAATGGAAAAATCGATAACTTTTCCATTTAGTCAATCACTAGCGTAAATGTAAAATAAATTGCTTTTGCACAGCACATCAATGTTTTTATGTGTGCGTAAGTTATACTGCATGGAAAATACACGCTGTGTTCAGAGAAAATAAGGTTTATAATTGACTGTGCAGTATAGTCTGATTTATGTTTTGCGGGTGTGTGCGCGACTGTGTAACTATTGCAGTATGTGTAGTGGTGTCAGTGTTGGTAGGGATAACTGCAGACATCGGGTCCCCGTACATTTTTCACTACTTAACACATCTCCTCTTTTCTTATATCTATGGTCGAAACGGTCACACTTGCATTGACAGCAGGTTTTTTAAGAAACACCCGTTTAGAAAAGTGTCGTAGAATAAAATCGAAGCAAAATCACATCCACCCAATAGACTTGTTGTTGGAAAAGAAAAACAATTCATTCCAATATATATTTCCTTGAAAAAACTTTGATCCCAAAGATTGTCCTTGGCAAACAAACAGACATTTCGTAAATGTAGACAAATATCCGAACGTGTTCAAAGGGAAAAATCAAAATGGAGCGAGCGTTTAGTAGATTGCTTGTGACGTCATAGGAGCAATTACGGACGCGGTAGCAAGAAAATGTTAGGGTCAACTCACACCGAAAGCGGCGAAGGGCAGCGACTTGCCCGGCAGAGAAGGCCCCGTTTATGAAATTCGCGCGACACGTTCGAGTTACTCATGTTGTAAGATACATTAAAGTAATGAGTTAAAGTTAAAATTCATGTCACACTGCAAATACGCTCTGCTTTGCTGTGCATCGGCGTCAAACACGTACCTAGTACTTATATTCTATTTGATCGGCGCTCTTGTACTGTAGTGTGAGTTTAACCTAGTGCGACAAAGTTCCAAAAAGTGTTCCTTTTAAGTTTTATAAATATGATTTACTGATGTTTTTATAATAACTATCGTGAGACATACTAAATAAACTAAAAATCGCGGGTT